CCTGGAGACCGATGACCTCATCCAGTCCACCATCCGGACGCAGTTCGATGACTGCACCGTGCTCACCATCGCGCACCGGCTCAACACCATCATGGACTACACCAGGTGGGACCCCACCTCTGCGGTCTGTCCTGTGCTCATGCCCGCTCGCTCACTGTCCACGTGCCCAGTGACAGCCCTGCCTTGGCCTTTTCTGTACCCTGGATGGGTGCTCAGTAGAGTGCCCACTGCTCTCTGGGACAGTGGTAGGCACTGGGGCTCCCTCCACAGGCTGTTGGCAGCCAAGTCGCCTGACTCGGAGAGAGCAGCTTAGTCAGGGGACACATACAGTGAGCGGATCCCTAAGGGCAGCAGTGCCGGGCAGGAGCCCATGGCCGCCACACACCAGGAGCAGAGGCCTGGAGCCCACGGGGAGTCCCAGGCACATCTTGCTTCTTTACGAATGTTAGAAGGAAAGCAGCACAGGAAGTCCAGCCTGGACCTGATGTGCGTCATGAAGCAGCTGTTAAGATTCTGCATGGAGAAAGCAGCCCATGTGGGCGTTCATTTGTGTGAAAAGCAGAGTGACGGGGGTGGGCAGCTGCTGGTTCGCTCCTCATAGGGCTGCAGTGGCCAGAGCTGGGCCAGTGTGGAGCCAGGAGCTTTCTTCCAGGTGTCCCTCGTGGGTGCAGGAACCCAAGCACTGGGACCCTCTTCACAGCTTTCCCAGGTGCATCAGCAGGGAGCAGGATCAGAAGCAGAGCAGCCAGCTCCCAAGCCAGCACTCTGAGGAGGAATGCTGGCATCTCAGTGGTTTAACCAGTTGGGCCTCAATGCCAGCCCTCCCTCCAGTGCAGACGTGTGGGTGGGTGGTCAGGAGGAAGCCTCCTGGGAACTTGAGGTTGACTATGAGTAGGGGTTGAGGATGGGCGAGCAGAAGGCTACCGCAGGAGTCCTGGCAGCAGACAGCAGGGGCCTGAGCTGGAGCCTCAGCACATGAGCTGCCCAGTCCTGCCCTCCCCCTCACGTCTCCATGCCCTCCCCCTGCAGGGTGATTGTGCTGGACAAAGGGGAAGTGCGAGAGTACGGCCCACCGTCCGAGCTCCTGCAGCAAAAGGGGCTGTTCTACAGCATGGCCAAAGACGCAGGCTTGGCGTGAACCTCGGAGCTGGTGTGCCCTGGCGCCACTGCAGAACCCACGCACCAGCGTTCTCTCGGAGAGCCCGGCCTCCTGCAGCGAAACCAAACACGCACACAAACCAAACCCCGGAAACCAAAACACTCCAGGAGCATCAGCCACCCTCCAGCCCTCTGCCTCACGTCGGCCTTGAAACCGGAGAGACATGACCCAGAGATGCGGCCCACCCACAACACGCACACACCTACCTGCGGTCCCCTGGAGAGAGCCAGCTGGGCACGCACAGGGCCGTGAAAGGCGCTCATGACCAAATCCAGACGTCTGCCTCAGATCTCCAGCCTAAATTTCAGGGGGGAGGTGCAGGAGTGGGGTGTTGGCTTAGAGAAGCCCCTGGCCCCCTGCCCACTCTCCCCACCATCCCCCATGGTTTTGTGTGCTTGGGGCTGCAGGGTGGAGGGTGAGGGCCTGATGGTGAACATTGTTGTCACCCCCAGGCAGTGTCCTGAGGGCTTGAACTGTCCCCTCACCGACCACGGGTCTTCCAGGAGCTGGGGTGCTGGGACCCAGCACTGCCTCCATTGGGACCTGCCCCAGGGCTCCAGGGCAGTCCCATACACCCTCACGCCACCAAAGCCCCAGGACTGGGGGGCCAAAGTCTCTTGTCTGAGAACCGACTTCCCAGTTCCCACCCAAGTCACCCCAGCTCTCCTTCCTTCTGCTGCTGCCCACTCGCCTCTCCCCACCCCCCAGGTGGCCTCGCTGCTGCCAGCCCAAAGGAGGGCCTGCCGCATGTGTGACGCCGTACCTGAAGGTGGGACCAGTCGCTACCCAGGGTCCCTAAGGCGCTTCGTGGTGCACCGGTCCTCGCATCTCACCCTTGGTGTCCACTTGGCTGGCCGAGGGCAGCATGGTGAAGGTAAACAGTTCCTGATCCTCTGCCCGGACCAGAGCCCGCCCGCGAGTGTCAGAGATTTGCTTTCTTTTTCTGTTTTGTTTTGTTTTGTTTTTCCTTAATTGAAAAAAAAAAACCAGTACTGTTCCCAGGAGATAATCTCTCTGAAGAGCTGAGGTCCCTTGGGGAGAAGGCTCGGTGTGAACTGGCCTTCCCAGGAATGGAGTAGCCAAGGCCGGGTCTGCGCTTGACCGCTCCGCTGGTCCCTGCGCTCCTGGGAGCCCTCCTCCTCTGACCTGCTGCTGTGGGGGGCAGGGGTCGCTGCCACTCTACCGCAGGGCGCACTCTACGCCCCGGTTCATACTCGCTATGAATTACGTTGCTGACTTCCAACCAGAGAAAACATCTTTTCTTTTAGGCAAAATACATATTTATTTTTTTGTAAGTTATACCATTCTTTCACGTTGAGGAAGCCAAGATTTTCTTGGGCATCTTTTTGTAATGACCTACACTGGAAACGTGAATATATGCAAAAATCATTTGCAGTAAAAAAATTTTTTTTTCTTTCTTTTTAGATGAGTGTTCTGTCTCCTCTGAGAGCATCAGCAGCTGTCAGGGCCCCTCTGGTTAAGTCAGGATTGGGCAGAGTGGTCACTTACAGGCGAGGGAGGAAAAGGGGGTCTGAGGTCCGAGTGGCGGGGCAGGGCCTGGAGCCCCTGTCCCTCGTCAGTCATGTGACTCTGGTGGGCAGGCCACCGGGGCTCTGTTGCTTTGAGAAATAATGGTTATGAAGATGCGCAGTCACACGTGGGGTGCAGGCGAGGTGGACATCTCCTGTGACCAGCGCTGCCCTTAAACCCCGCGTGGGGGCACATGCTCTGTGCTGTTCTACAAAGCAGCCATGAGGTCTCAAGACACTGAATCCATTTCTTACCCATGCAGTCTTGGAGCAGGCTGGGCGCCATGCCAAGCAGCTGCATTGTGCAGTGGTCGAGAGATCCTCCCCAGACTGAATGGGTCCTAGTGCCTCTCCAGGGCTGGCTGCCTGCTAGTACCCATCACCACGGAGTGGTACAGCAGGGGGGAAGCCGTTTTTCTCACCACGCAAGAGCGAGGCCCTGCCCTGCCTCTGGCTAGCCTGTAACCTTGGCAGTGCAGTCTCCTCAGCTGGCAGTGGGTGCTAGCAGATGCAGGGCTTAGTCAACATGACTCAGGGAAGGTGGGGACTGCCTGTGTCATGCTGGGCCACTGCAGTGTCCCCACAGCCTGGCTGCAGCAGAATGAGCACAAGGGGCAGGCAGGGAGCCCTGGCCACTCCTGAGCCCGCATACAACAGCTGCTCCAGCACCCGGCGGCTCTGGATGACAGCAGGCAGCTTAGAGTGGTAAGTTAAAACTGGAGTGCCTATTCCCCCGTGCCAGCCCTGGGGACTGATGGTGTATGCAGATGTTTTGGTCACTGGTCACTACTCCCAGGGGACCCAGGGACATGTGGTAGCAGAGCACTCCCATTGGATGTCCAGGTTGGCTCCAGCAGGAAGCAGCAAGTCTTTGCTGCTTTTTCCCAGCAGCGTTGCGAGGCCAGGGGGGTGCACCGGGCTGCCACCACTGTAGGAACCTGGCTTGCCACAGCCCTGGACACCTTGCTACAGAGGTCCTCGGGCTTAGCTGCTGTACACTTAGTTCTGAACTATTTCCTAATTTCTATAATTTTTTTTTTTTGGTAAGATTTATTTACTTAAAAGACAGAGGGAGCAGATAGGGACAGATCTTCCATCTGCAGTTCACTCCTCAATGCCTGCCATGACTGTGGCTGGGTCAAGCTGACGCTAGGAGCCTCAGACTCCATCCAGGTGTGCTGTGCGGGATGCAGGGACCCCTTGCACTTGGCCACCTTCTGCTTCTTTCCCAGGCTTCTGAGGAGGGAGCTGGACTGGGAGTCGAGCAGCCAGGACTCAAACCGATGTTCACGTGAGATCCCTGCATTGGCAACCCCAATGCCAGCCCCCAGGATCTGGTTTGAGTTCAGTCTTAGAATCCTGGCTGCTGTCAGCACCAGGGCCAAGCTGGACAGGGAGCTGTGCCCTTGTCCTTGGCTGAATCGAGTACATAGCCTTCACCCGGCCAGACCTGGGTGTTCATCAGTGTGCGAAGCAGACCCCCGGGCTTGCCCAGTACAGCATGAGTTCCCATGAGTCGCTGTAGCTTCCTTGGCCACCACACGTACCACACACCCCAAGACCCAGGCACATGGTCCCGCTGAGGCCAGGAGTCTGGGATCCTCTCAGGGCCTTTGGGGCATTGAACTTGACACTCCTACTTGCTGGTACCTGGAGAGCTCTGTTTCAGGGACTGTGGAGCAGAGGGAACCTGGCCTGAGTGTCCACTTGGGGCGAGACCCTCCCCTGGAGCACCCCCAGGGGGCACAGAGCAGCAGCATTGCGGTGGGGGGCAGTGGTGCCCAGTTCAGACTGCACGCAATACTGTGTGCAGGAACTATTGAAATACTCCCAAGAACTTAGCAGTGGGGGCAGGACGGTCCCCGTGGTGACAGGATGGCATAAGCCACACAACTACACCAAAGGAATGTTGACAAAGATGGGCAGGCCATCTCCATGTCAGTAGAGTGGTGGCCACACTGTCCTGGAGCTGGACCAAGCCAGAGTCACGGCATGCAGGGCCCACTGCACCTCTTGGCTTCCAGCCACGTGGAAATCCACAGTGATCTCCAGGGAAGAGGGCCGATGTGTGTAAAGCACACACAGCGTGGCCCCAGTGATCTGGGCAGGGGCAGGGCACGAGTTACAAGCTTCCGAGTGAGTACAACGGCCGGGCCGGAAGTGGCCGGAGAGCTGGGGCTTCCAGGTCTGACGTGGCCGTTAGTAGTCACTTTCTCTGTTGCCTTCCTCCCAGGGCAGGAATGAGACTGGATGTCCCAGGAGGGGCAGCCGGCGGTGGAGCCTGGAGCCTGGCTGGACAAAGGAGACCTGGCTCACACCAGGCCTGACTCCTGGGCCAGCCTGTAGAACAGGCCCTCCTGGGCCAGCAGCTGGGCTGGGCTGCCACTCTCGGCCACCTGCCCCTGGTCCAGCACCAGTACCCTGTAGGGAGAGAGGCAAAGGGCTGTGGGAGTCGAGCCCATCTGAGCTCTGCACCCCCAGGAGCAGCACACGTCCCAGGCTCGCTGTCCATATGAAGGCTCTCAACGTGGGATGTGTTACAGAAAGCATCCCAGGAGAGTGCAGTTTTCTGCACCATGAACTTTCTGAGGCACCTTTGTACCCTGGGCCCCCTTCCTCCCCTGCCGCAGGGGTCGGGGGGCACACCTTACCTGGCACAGTCCATCACAGAACGCAGGCGGTGAGCAACGAGCAGCACGGTGCACTGCGCGAACCAGCCCTTCAGGGCCGCCTGCATCTGGAGCTCAGTGCCTGGGTCCACGGCGGCCGTGGCCTCATCCAAGATAAGGATCTGGGTTTTCCGGAGCAGAGCCCGGGCCAGGCACAGCAGCTGCTTCTGGCCCAGACTGAGATGGGGGCAAGTGCGCCAGTCAGGCCAGGGGAATCTTTCCTCACATGCCCACTCGCTGGGAGAGCCACCACAGTCGGGCGCCTGGATGTGTATATGTCTCCACACGCAAGGTTCCCCCACCCTGCCATCTTGGAGCTGACCTTAAGCTTCAGTTTCTCTGCCTGTGAAATGGCTGTTAGCATGTATCTAGAAATAGCCCTGGGTAGACACAGCAAAGACAGCGTGTGCACACAGCTAATGGCCTAAAAGGCAGTTACATTCTATCCTTTTGATAGGAAATAGACACCAGGAGTTCACGTGGTTAGAGGTGCAGGCTAACGGGTCCTTCCTCACTGTGTGCCCTGTTGTGGGGGTCCGCAGCACCCCACAGGGCAAATATACCTCAGATCGTCCCCTTGGTCGGCGCACTCGTAGTGCAGCTGGCCGGGCAAGCTGGCCACCAGGGCTCTGAGCTGCACCGTGTCCAGGGCGGCCCAGATGGCTTCGTCCGAGTGCTCCTGCAGCAGGTCGAGGTTCAGGCGTAGGGAGCCAGGGAAGAGGATGGGGTCCTGGCAAGGAGGGCGGTGAAGTTGAGGGCAGGGCTTTCCAGCCCTGCCCCCCGCCCTCCTGCCACTCTGCCCTCTAGCCCTGCCCCCGCCTCCCACCCACCTGCCCCATGCCCACCTGGGGGATAATAGTGATCCGTGACCGCAGCGCGTGCAGTCCCACGTCGGCGATGGGGACCCCGTCGATCCAGATCCCTCCCTCAGCCGCCTCCTGCAGCCTCAGCAGGGCCCCCACCAGGGAGGACTTGCCGGCTCCCGTCCTGCCCACGATGCCCACCTGCCGGGGATGGCAGGGAAGGCTTACTCTGATTAGGCCTGGCCAGAGGGTCCGTAGCTTTCTGCTGTACCTAAGACAGCCCTCATGTGTCATCCCAGGAGCCCACCCTGGAATAACCTTCCTTTTCACAGGGCCCTCCCACCATCTCTGTCCCCCCTGGCCACTCCTGCCCTCTGATTCCTCCCGCTGCTCCCTGCCTCTGCACTGCTCACCCATCCCTCTCATGTGTGTACCTGTCTGTCCATCATTCTTTCAACACCATTCAATGAACAAAGGAAATGCATGGCTCGCCTGCTGTGTGCCAGGCCCAGGTTTTTGGCACAGGAAACCCAAGAGGCCTTGTTTCAAGCTGCTTACCATCTAGTCTCAGAAATGGTGTCACAGAGTAAGCTCTGGACCCTACTGTACCATGAAGGGAGGTACCCTTCATGCTGCCTGGGGTGGGACAGGAGGGGAGCAATCCAGGAAGGCTTCATCAGGGAGGGGGCACACTTGGAGGAGAAGCAGGAGTTCTGAGAAAAGCTCCAGGTGAACACCACCAAGAAGGTTTGCAAGACTAGAAGCCCAGCATGGAAGTGAAAGACACGAGTAATAAAAGCATCGGAAAGCACTTGGGTCAAACTTGCTGTGTGCCTGGCGTTTTCTTGCAACTCCATCGGGCGGGGTCATGATTCCCATTCTACAGATGGGCAAACTTACAGGGAGGCACGAAGTGACTTGTTCAAAGTCAAGGCAGGCAGCTGTCCCTTGCAGAATGGTGGGGACGCTGCTCAGAACGGAGGAGGGATGGCCAGTGCAGATCCTGGTGTGGAGAGGGGGCCCAGGCTGGGGTCTGGGGCGGCCACTCACCTTCTCTCCCGCGTGGATCTTGACAGAAACCCCACGCACAGCCAGTGGGAGCTCAGGCCTGTGCCTCAGCCCAAAGTTCCGGAACTCGATCTGACCCCCACGGGGCCAGGGGGGTTGGGCAGCACAGGCGGGCAGTCTCCAGGGTGCCTGGAGGAAGGGGACAGGAGTCAGAGGAACCTTCCTCCAGAGCCTCCCTCCTCCCCACCACTGCCCTGTGTGTGTGCGCTTCTGTTGCACATTCTTCATGTAAATTATATCAGTGGGCATGGACCACAGCAGTGCCCTAGAATACAGTCTGTATGTTGTGCTCTTAGAATTAACCACATTCTAACTTGGGTTAGCAGGGACCCTTCCCTTGGTGAGAGTCAGAGCTACATACTGTTGGCTGTTCCCATGACCTGGGCTAGCTCCTGCCCCATCCCTGCCCAGCCAGCCTTGGCGTCCCCACCTGTGAAATGGGGCTACAAGCAGCAATGGACACATGGTAAGGGCTTGCATAGGCTCTCACGTGACAATTCCGGCTACCTTGTCCCTTTTACGGATCCCTTACAGTCCCTGTCCCCACAGGCAACTTGCCTTGATAGCACAGAAGCAGGGCTTCTCTCTGCTCCAGAACCAGGCTCGGAGCTGCCTGACTCCTGAGCAGCCACCCTGGGCCCAATGCCCCACTACCCCTGGTCACCTCTTTGGGCGTCTGGGCGTAGTGTGTCAGCCGTTCCACCGACACAATGCTGCTCTCCAGGTCGGTCCAACTCCGCACGGCCCACTGCAGTGTCTGTGTCACCTGGGGTGGGAAGACACACTGGCTTTGCTGAGGCCACACCCAGGTCTGCATCCATCTGTCAAAGTGGGAGGAGAGGGGGAGAACGGACCAGGAAGGGGACAGTCCGAGGATGTGGGTCCAAGGAAGAGACTGGGCTGCGGACAATAGCACCCCTCTCCCAGAACCCTACCTTTCCCCTTGTGCTAGCCTCTTGCTGTGGGGGAGGCAGGGCCAGAGAGAATATTTGGGCCCCCAGAAGCACCCAGGCCCACTGGCTGCACTCCGAGAGCTTCCCTGGAGGGGGGGGCCTCCACTGATTCCCACACCATGTCCCCTTTTTCACTCAGTCTACCACTCCACATTGCCAGAGATGCCTAAAGCACACTGTGGGCCAGGCACAGCATCCTAGCGGCCAACGTGACCTCCCCTTGCATGCACCAGGATCCCATATGGGTGTTGGTTCTAATCCCAGCAGGCCCGCTTCCCATCCAGCTCCCCTGCTTGTGGCCTGAGAAAACAGTGTAGGGTGGTTCAAAGTCTTGGGGCCCTGCACCCATGTGGAAGACCTGGAAGAAACTCCTGGCTTCAAATCAGCTCAGCTCTAGCCACTGTGGCCACTTGGGGAGTGAACCAGCAGATGGAAGAGCTTTCTATCTCTCCTCTTTGTAAATCTGACTTTCCAATAAAAGTAAATAAATCTTAAACACACAAACACATACACACACACATACCAATGTGACCCTGACAGCACTCTGAGGCCACCTGAACTAAATCCAGCTCTCACAGAGAAATGGTTTCCTCTGGTTGGGCAGTGAGGCATCAGGGCTACTTGCTGGCCCCACTGGCAGGCTGCCTGCCCCTTCTGCTGCACCCCAGCCCAGGTTGGGGATACCTGGAGCGCAGCAGAGACAGAAAAGCCCACGAGGCCGGCAGTGAGGTGGTCTTTGCTCAGCACTGCGCACAGGGCAGCTGCCAACACCAGGCTGTTCCCCAGGAGCTCCAGGTTGGTAGCAAGCCACCTGCAAGAGGAGACAGGTGACAGAGGGGTCAGTGAGCGCCCTTGGGACCCGCTCCTCTGAACATGGAGATGGCAGCTCCAGATTCCAAAGTTCCCAGCTATGGCCTCTTCCCATCTGAGCCCAGTGCTTGGACTTGAACCTGCATCTGCCTGGGTCACAGCCCCATTGTTTAGGATTGGAAGGACCAAGAACAGTGGAGCAGCTGCTGTGTCTCCAAGGCAGCAGCTGCTTCCTACACCTGCTACTGGGGACCTCTCAGGCCAGGTGCCACCTGCTAACACTGTGGGCAGGTTACCTGACCCCTCTAGCCACTTGAGATGGCCTCAGGCCTCACCACATGGGGACACAGATGGATGACAAGGTCTGCTCTGCACCCAGGCTCTTTCCTACCTTTCTGCCACCAGCCGTGGGAAGCCGACCCTCTGGCTCTCATCCACGTGTGCATCGCTCTGGTCCATGAAGGAGCCCTGGGCTCGGAATGCCCGGACCACCACGCTGCCCTGGAAGGTCTCGGCTATGTGGGAGCACACGGACGAGTAGCGGGCTGACTCGAGGCGTTTCAGCTGGCACGTGCTGGCCACATACAGGCTCTGAGGTGGGCCGGGTGGGAGGGGGAGGGACATTACACAGTCAGGGAGCTTCTAGGAGCACAGGGAGCCCCTGAAAGAAGGCTAGGCCGGGCTCTGCTGCTGCCCTGCTAGCTCTGGGCTCCAATTTCTTTGCAGAATTGGTGTCCTGCAGTTCTTTTGACAAATCAACTGAAGAGTGTCAGAAACCCCCAGTGTCCCACCCCAGAACCCATTGGCTCGGTGCCTTACAAGCCTTCTAGAGAATTCTAGGCCACTGCTGGAGAGCCCACCAGTCTCGTTTTCACATGACCCTGCCTAGCACCAAGGCCAGCCCCCTCCATTAGGGCTGGTCATTGTGGAACCAAAAGCATGTAAGAAGATGGAGGCAGTAGGCGAGGTAGAAGTCACTCGTGTCACATCAGGGTGAGGGTGTCACAGGCCTGAGGCCAGAAAACACATACACGTGTCTGTCTCTGGCTGAGGGCTGCCAGCGACCCACAGCCAACAGGTACACAACAGAGAGCCTGCGTGTGCTGGGACAAACAAGCCAAGTGCCAGGCTCTTCCTTCAGAAGCAGGGTCTTGGGTCAGCACCATAGCATGGTAAACTGATCCTCCACCTGCCGTGGAGGATCATGGCTGCTCCATCTCCCTATTCAGCACCCTCCTTATGGCCTGGGAAAGCAGCGGAGGATGGCTCAAATCCTTGGGCCCCTACATTCAAGAAGAAGCTTCTGGCTACTGGCTTTGGATCAGCTCAGCTCTGGCTGTTGAGGCCATTTGGGGAGTGAAGCAGCCAAAGGAAGATCTCTCTCTCTCTCTCTCTCTCCTGTTAATTCTGCCCTTTCAAATAAATGACAAGAAGTGGAGTCTCACTCGCCATAAGGTGGGCCTGAGTGCCATTCAGGTGAAAACCCCTGAGGGTCTCCAGCCAGTGCATGGGATACAGTCCCACCTCCCTGCCCTACTCACAATGAAGAGCAGCCCACATCCCTGACGTCAGCGCTCTGGAAGCCCCAGGCTGGCTATGGGAGACAGTAGCTCTGGGTTTTGTTCAACTAACATGTTTTCCCGTCTACCTGACTTTGCTTGCCTGTGGTAGGGTCCTGAGAAAGGAGGCAATCATATGACCCAGCCTAGCCAATGATTAGGCACATGACCCAGAAAGCACCAACCAGAACCTTCCCTGGGAATGATGAATGAATCCTGAGCTAGAGAAAGCTTTCCCTATGCTGGAGTTGCTAAGATGGGAAGTGTGAGTAGAGGCTGCTAGCGGCCATCACCCCTGGCCTGTGGTAATCCAGTCGTTCTAACACCAGCCCATGTTGGAATCCTATAGCTCCAGTCAGGAGGTCTAGAACAGCCCCGGGGTGATGGTGCTTGCTGTGGGTTCACTCCTTGCTAAGCATTGAGTGAAGGCAGGGAGAGAGTAACCATATCCTAGGGTCACTGCTCCACAGACCACCAAATTTCTCCAAGTTGGTCTCTGGCCCTGGCACAGGCAGAGTGCAGCCAAGTGCTGTAGCCTTTGACAGCAGCCATGCCTTCTCAGCTTCCAGGGAAATGCAGGAGCTATGGCCATGACAGGCCAGCCAGCTGGGCGACAGAGGCCACACTGGAAGCTCCCAACAGACTGCTCTTCCACAGCTGGAGATTCTCCCAGGGGTGACCCCAGATGCCCAGCTGGGCAGACTCAACCTGCCTGGGGTTGGGGACTGGCCAGGGTGGCCCCCAGCTGACCTGGCCTTACCTGAAACCCGGCGTAGAGGAGCACCAATGGCACAATAGCCACCAGCGCCAGCGGGGTGGCCACTGTCACCACCAGGATGACCTCCAGGAGTCCGAAGGCGTAGATCAGCAGGGACCTGAGCTTGTCTGGAATTTCCACGTCCACCGTGTCTGTCTCCTTAGAGAAGCGGCTCAACAGGTTCCCCACGGGCGTCCGTTCAAAAAAGCCAATGGGTGACCGTGCCACATCCCACAGGAGCCTCCGGAAGAGCATGCCAGACGCCCGGATTCCGCCCAGTAACACTGTGGCCACGGAGGCAAACAGCCCAAGCGCTGGCAAGAAGAGAAGATCATTTATTTCCCAGAAACCCCTTTTCCACTGATCCACTTCCAGAACGTAACACTTGGGGCCGGGCCAGGCTCAAGCTGGGAGCTGGGAACTCCATCCAGGTCTCCCATGTGAGTGGCAGGGACGTTAACTACTGCCTCCCATAGTGTCCGCTAGCAGGAAGCTAGAACTGGAAATGGAGCCAGGACTCTAACCTGGGCACTCTCATGGAATACATAGGCATCCCAAGAGGTGGCTGAAGTGCTATACCAAACGCCCACCCTTTCGAGGACACAGAGAAGGGGGGGCAAAGGTGGAGGCAGAAGTGGGTGGGCATATCCACAAGGCAGGAGACCCAAGGCTGACCAGCAGCCAGGAGTGGAGCCGGTTCTCCCCCAGGGCTGGACCATGTTTGGAAAGCAGGCAATGCCGGAGTGAGGGAGAGGGTGGGGAGAAGCAGGAGGAAGGATGGGTGTGACTGTCAGAAGGACAACAGGAGGTTCCAAGTGGTGATGGGGCAGTCCAGTATCTCCCCCGGAGCAGTGACGGACACAGGAACTTGTGCGGGTGGTAAAGTCACAGGGATGTAAACCCTCACACAGCTGCACATGTACCCAGGAAGGCAGAGTAAGGTGGGCGGGTTGATGCAAGGCAAAATCGCGGTGGACATGTGACAAACTGGGAGAACTGGGCAGGTGTGCAAGATGGTCTCTCCGTGTATATCACAGCTGATGTGAGTTTGAAACAAGGCAGAGGGACACAGTGCTCAGTTGTGTGCCTGTGTTTGACTTCGGCTCCAGCCTCCCGCTTCCTGCTAATGCAAACGCTGGGAAGGAGCAACACTGGCCCAGGGATGGGGCTCCTCCTACCCTCGTGGGAGACCCAGATTGAGTTCCTAGCTCTGGCCCCTGCCCAGCCCTAGCCATAGTGGGTATCGGTGGAATGAACCAGTGGATGGGAACCCCTTTCAACACCTGTCAAATAAACACAACATTGAATAAGTCATTTGTAAGGAGAAATTAGGGGTGATGGGGACAGTGACAGGGTTGTTGGGGGACAAAGAGGTGTGGCCTGAGCATGGCAGGTCAGGAGCAGCTTAGGAGGGGCTGGGACCAATTCTGGGACCCCTAGAAAAGGGGTGATTGTGGTCCTTGCTCCCTCCAGCCCCATCTTGGAAACACAGGCCTGTGCTGGAGGGAAGACAGGTGAGCCACGGTCAGTGGACGAGGGAGCCCAGAGCCCCACGGAGCCAGGAGGAGGAGTACCTTGGAGGCAGCCAAGGAGCCCGAAGATCCAGCCGCGCAAGGCCGCCTGTGCCTGCTGCCCGTCCACGGCAGGGTCATCAGCCCACAGGCTCAGCCAGTAGCCTCGGCAGAAGGCAGCCACTTGCTGGCACAGGAAGAGGAAGAATACGCAGAAGCAGAACGGGACGCCCACAGCCCGCAGGTAGGTCAAGTACATGGCTGCCTTCACCTGCAGCACACAGTGGGAAGAGCAGCGGGAGCCTGGGGTGGGAATGAGCTGAAGCAAGGCCAGGGGAGGCACCAGAGCTCACACCACAAAGGGTGGTGGATGAAGTCCTCTGGGGGCCTCACAGGGGCTCTCTCGGTGCCCCTCACCATGACTGTACCACCGCCCCCCACCAACATTATAAGGTTGGGTGGACGGTGGGTGGATGGCTGGGCACAGCCACAGGAGCAGCAGCACCAGGTTCCATGTAGGCTGCCCTACGAGTATGCCCTAAGATGGTCCCCTGCCAGTTGTGAGGACACAGAAATATCTTTTAACGCTCTCAGATCTTGCTTTCTTTACCTCTAAATGCAGCTCTCACTGTCTGCTCTTCAGGGAAGCTGCCTGGGGCAGGGACCCTGAAGGTCTAGAACCTTCCTTGGCACATGGTAGGCAATCAATGAAAATGGGTTCACTCTACTGTATGCCGTATCGGGGGGGGCAGCCTCAAGCTCCTGGGGTGTTGTGGGGAGGTTTTGGGGGTGGCAGGAGTAGGTGGAGAGGGCAGGCCAGGACTGGGGGTTACCCTGCCGTACTGCATGCTGTCCTCTCCTGCCCCCTCGTGGTCATCGAGCAGAGCCCCATCCTGGACCGGGGCTGGCTTGAGGGACCTGTCAGAGCAAATGAGGACAGATCAGCAGGTCCCCTTTGCTGGGCTTGTCCTACCCACCCCCCAGGACCCGGTGGCAGCCGCTGAGCCTGGGTGTGCCCTTCCCTTATGTATTCAGCACTGAGCACCAACTAGGTACTATGTCTTTCTCTCTCCTCCCCGGGTGAAGTCCAGCTAAAAGCCTCCTACCAGCCCTGAGCCACGCCAGCCTGTCCCTCCAGCGCCACGCCCCATGACGAACTCATTTTCCCAGCTCTCCAGCTCTGAGTTTTCATGTTGATTTGAGCTTAGCCACATTTGTTCACCGCCAGGACTGGCCTCAGATTTGCACAATCGTGTTGCCCACGACTCCCTCTCCTCTACAAATGACCTTTTCTTACTTTCTGCACGCCTCAGTTTTCTTGACAGTAACACAAGGTTTTCTTTCCATCACCTAAGGTGTACCAGGGATTGGCTACTGATTCATTATCTGCCTCTCCACGTGCGTATGCCTGCTCATGCCTCCAGCTTATCTGATCTTGAAGTTCTGATGCACTCCAGAGAGGCCAGTCTGCCCAATGTCTGCTTGCAATGTGACCAGCTGGGATGGGAAGGCAGGAGCCAAGCCGGCTGCAATATTCCCGGGGACCAAGACCCTCAGTGTCGGCCCCCACTTTGCGACAGCTAGCAGCCAGGAGGAACAGGGCTAGTGGGGCTGCCCCTTGGTGACCCCTCACCTGCCTGTCCTGGAAAGCACCGAGTGATGTGAGGCCCCTTGCGTGGCCTGTCAATTCACAGGTGACAGGACCTGGCTTGACTGTGACCGGCTGTGTGGAAGATCTTTCATTGGAACTGGCCCTGCCTACTTGAGCAAAGAACTCTGACAAGCCTTTATCATGCGGGAAAGGAAATCATTGGTTCAGTGTGCCAGCCACTGGGGGACTTCACCATGTTGGCCAACTGACCTGTAAACCATCCTTGATGAATTATCCCACCGCTGAGTACTTGGGCCCACCAGCAGGCAGTGCACCCTAGACAGATGTGCCCATCCCTCCCCCACCCACTGAAATGCAGGTGGTCACGTGGCCTGTGCCCCCACCCACCCCTATAAACTCACCTCTCGGGGCTCAGCTCAGATCCGCTGCCCACAAGGGAGCTCCCGGGGGCCCTGGCAACAGTCACACATTCCGTCTCTGCAAGGCCAAGGGAAGGGAGGGGGTCCAGTGCCGGCTTTGACCCGCACAGGCTATGCAGCCTCATCCTCTGGTCACTGTGCCCCGTGCTCACTCCCACTGCCCTCCCCAGCAAGGTCTCTGTACGCTCGCTCCCTGGTTCTCCTGCAAACATGATGCATTCATTCAGTAAATGACGGTACTTTCAAAAAGTTCACAGAACGTAGGAGTAAAAGATCAATGTGCAGGGCCAGGGAGCTAAGCTGCTACCTGCAACACCGCAGTCCCACACTGGAGCCCTACCGGGAGGATCGGCTGCTCCACTTCCGGCCCAGCTCCCTGCTAAGGCGCCTCGGATGGCAGCAGGGGATGGCCTGTGCTTGGAGCCCCACCACCTAAGGCACACTTCTAATTGCACTTCCCACGAGCTCCTTTAAGCTCTGTGATGGCGTGCTTGGGCCCCTGCTGCCCACGGGTGAGACGCAGATGAAGCTCCAGGTACCTCACTTTGGCGTGGACTTGCCCTGACTTTTTCAGTCATTTGGTTAAATGTACCAGCAGGTGGAAAACCGCCCGCCCTCCCTCCCTTCTTCTCTGTCACTCTGCCTTTCAAATAAATCTTCTAAAAAGGAAACAAAAATGTTTAAAAATTATTTAACTCTTAGTTTGCTCATTTCTAAAATTACAGCAACTGCTGCACACACCCCACGGGGCTAACAAGCAGGGCAAATGGATCATTAGAACAGCACATGGGGGCTGGCATGGTGGCACAGCAATCTAAGCCTCCACTTCTGGTGCCAGCATTTCATATGGGCCCTTGTCTGAGTCCCGGCTTCTCCACTTCCCACTCAGCTCCCTGTTTATGGCTTGGGAAAGCAGCAGAGCGTGGTTCAAGTGCTTGGGACCTTGCACACATACGGGTGTTCCTGGCTCCTGGCTTCAGACTGGCCAAGCTCCAGATATTGTGTCCATTTGGGGAGTGAACCAGCTGATGGAATATCTGTCTCCTTCTCTCTGTGTAATTCTGTCTTTCAAACAAGCACTTTTTACCAAAAAAAAGCATATAGCACACACAGGCCCTGGCTCCAACAAGGTGTCACTGGCTCTCAAAGAGAGAAGAGGTGGCTTCCAGGAACAGCCACCTGCCTCTGGATCTGGGTCCTCAGTGGTGGTGGTGGAGGGGGTTGCTGGTGATCAATGGGACTCTCAGAGTCCGCTCCCCAGGGCTGGCCAGAGCCAGGCACAGATCTACCCCATAGCCAGTACCTCCTCCTCCCCTCTCCGCCTGCCGTCTGGCTCCCTCCAGGAGGCCCGCCAGCACCCCGTTCTTGCGCAGAAGCTCCTGGTAGGAACCCATCTCTGTGATGGCTCCATTTTCCAAGACCACGATGCAGTCAGCCTGAGGCAACATGTGCAGCACGTGGGTCACGAGGATCCGTGTCTGGACAGGGGAGGGTGGAAGTTACGCCACATGCTTGGCCGGTCTTCCTGAGCTAGGGGGACAGGGGTGGCGCCAGGGTCCGGGGTATGATGCCCTGGCCAGGGAGGACCCCCCCCTCCCCTTGCAGCACTGCTGCTCTTTCTGCTGAAAGCAGAGGGGGTGCCTTCAACCTGGGAACAGGGCAACATGGAGCCAGGGCAGCCAGGGCCTTGAGCTGAAGCTGTCCAGATGCCCCTTGACCTCAGACAGGATTACTCAGATAAACCCATGGTACAATCAAACGAAGGCAAATTCAGATGCTTTTAACTGGGACCAGCAGCATGGCATAGTGTATAAAACCACTGAGTGCAATGCTACCATCCCTCAAGTCCTGGCTGCTCTACTTCCAGCTCCCTGCTAACAGCCTGGGAAAGAAGCAGAGGCTAGCCCAACTCCTTGGACCCACTATATCCACGTAGAAGCTCTTGGCTCCAGCCGGGACCGAACCTAGCTACTGCAGCCACTTGGGGGAGTGAACCACAGATAGCTCTCTCTCTCTCTCTTCCTTTCGAATAAATCAATCTTGAGAAGTACAGCTTCTGCTGACACGGTTAAGTGAGCACCTGTGACAGTGTAAGTATGCAAGCTGTGGCAGCTGGGAGCTGCTTGTCCCGGTGGCACAGTCAGAGCTGACTGGCAGGAACTGGGACTCAAGGAGGGGATGGAGAACATAGAGTAGGTCAGGACCCCACAGGCTCTCTCTGAAGGATCCTGGTGCTTTCAACTCACCGTGCCCCGCAGCAGCCCAGCAGGCCCGATGACCCGGCTGAAGACGAGCTGGGCCACGTGCGGGTCCAGCGCTGCCAGCGGGTCATCCAGCAGGTACACTGTGGCTTTTCTGTACACAGCCCGTGCCAGGCTCAGCCGCTGCTTCTGGCCCCCGGAGAGGTGCATACCCTGTGGTCACACAGAAGGACAAGGACAGGGCAGGGACCGGGGTTGGTGTCTGCCACCAGGCACGCAAAGTGCTGTGAGGCTCATGGTGCCTGTCCTCAGGACCACGCTCACCTCCCAGGAATTGCTTCCAAGGTGGGCTTCATGGAGGAGATGGCTCAAGTCTCTCTACTTTCCCTTCCTACCCACTTCTCATCCATGTCAGTCTTGGTCCAGTTTCCCATCAGGAATACCAATCATGTTCTTGGTATTCATTAACTGCCTTTCACTCTGTGGCTCCCTCATGCCAAGCAGTGGTCCAGGCTCTGAATCCACAACAGCAAGCCACACCTGGCTCTTTCACTCTAATGGGGGTGGGGTAGGAGGCAGGTGATGCACAAGCAAGCAAGGTGGGCAGCAAAGCAGATAGCGTTCTGTGAAAAGCAGAGCAGGCAGAGCCGGACAAGGCAGCCAGCGAAGGCCTCCTGGGGGACGAAACAGCAGGTGCAGTGGCCCTAAGGCGGGGGCCTGCTCTGTGTGCCTGGGGGTACACTGTGGGGACCCAGCTGGCCACTGTGAAACAGGAGAGGGGGTATTCGATGGGAGAGGGGGCAGCGGGACCAATGGCAGGGGACATGGGAGAGATGGGGCATTGAGCAGCTTGGGGAGACCCCTTTCTGAGCAGAGAAAGGAGGTAACCTACATTGGAAGCAGCCCCGCTGGCTGCCACGCTGGGACTGGACAGCAGGGAAGGACAGAAACGAGGCAGTGCCAGGAAGCCTCTACACGGAGAGCCGAGGGTGGGGACTCAGCAGGGTGAGACGCAGGGGTGGGAGGAAGCGAGGGGTCAAGGGGACACCCAGGGCTCAGGCATGAAGCTCTGCCAGGGTGGAGCGGGCAGGGCAGCCGTGGTGTAGAGGGACCAGGCGCCCTCTGCCTGCTTGAGACCATTGGTCACCACCTCCTCCTCCTGGCTCCTTCAGAGCCTCCCCTGGGCCTGCCCAGCCTTCTCCCCTGGGGGACTTTCGCCATTCTCTTAATCCTGCCGCCACCTCGCACTGACAAGTAACCAGCTCCAGTGTGAGCAACAGCCAGATGCCAAGGGCCTTAAGCTTTGCAGGTCACAATCTTGGGCACAGCAGCTGAGCTCTTCCTCTGACAGCTCGAGCCAGTGGGCAGGGCTTAGTCCCAATAAAACTTTATAAAAACATGAGCAGTAGGCTGGATGAAGCCCATGGATCAAAACTAGCAGATCCCTGTGCCCAATTCTAAACTCCAGATACTCACATCCTGTTTGTGGGATGCCTCTGCCCACACCCTTTGGTAAGACCCAGAGAAGGGAAGCTTGCAGACCAGTGTGGCCCAGCAAAGCTGGACAGGAGTCCAGAACTCCTCCTGTCCAGTTATCACCGAAGCCCCTGGCCACTGTGACTCTGCCCAGTCCTTCACTCCGGTCTCATTCAGCACCTACAACTGTTTGCTGAGCACTTACTACCTGTTTGGGTTCAACCTGGGCCCTTGTTTCCGTTTCACTGCCTCTCCCATTTCCCATCTGTCCATGACTTCTCCCCCCGCCACTGGTCAGGGGACTAGATGGGACAGGTGCGGCCCCCTCCCGTCCCACAGGGTACCCCGAGACCCTCACCTGCTCCCCGACTGGGCTGTGCAACCCCGCAGGGAAACGGCTCACATCTGGCCACAGTGCACAGGCATCCAGCACTTCCTCTAGCCATGGCAGGTCCAGCTCCTGCCGGAAGCACACGTTCTCCACCACGGAGCCGTTCTGGACCCAGGCCTCCTGCGGTACGTATGCCACAGAACCCTGAAACGCAGCATGCTGTGAAGCCACGAGCGATCCTTGCAGGAAGTGGGGGTGCAGTGATTGGGAAGGAGAGGGGATTCCTGGGCAGGGGTGGGGGGGCTCACCTTGACACTCACAGAGCCCTCCATCTTCCACAGCTCCCCAAGTAGAGCAGACAGCAAGGAGGACTTCCCCGCCCCAACTGGACCCACGACAGCTAGCAGACAGCCCTGCGGCACGGTGAGGTCCACCCTGTGGGCCAAGAGGGGACATGAGTCCTGGTCAGGGCCTAGCCCGTTTCTGTGCAGTGAGCCCCATGCACCCCAGCCTTCCCCAGGGGTCGACCTGGAGGGCAGAAGGCAGCTGAGGGCTGCAGAGGCCAGTTCTTCCTGTGCCCAGACCTCGGGTCACAACTCGGGATGCCATCCTGCCCACATCTGTGCACACACACTCTCTCTCACACCAGTGCATGCATACCACATATATGAACGCAGGCAGGAGCTCCTGCATATACGCCCACACACAGGTGCACACCACGCACACGCTCCTGTAGGTAGGCACACAGCTGATGGGGGCGTGAAGCCTTCGCCAGCATCACCTCTCCCCCTGGCTCCTGGGGTAGTCTCCTCTGCCCTGCCCCTGCCCGTCTCCCCAAGTTCACCCTTCACCCAGTGGCCACGAGGCCCCCCAGTCAGAACCCAAGACAGGTCCAGATCGGGACACTTCCTGGGTAAAACTACCTTACTCCCTGTGCTTCCGTGTGGCTCAAGGTCAAAGCTAACATGCTGACAGTCAGGACCCTGGCCTCCCACAGTTCTGCACATTTCTGGAAGGCAGAGGCTCTCAATAGAAGACAATTTTGTTGTTCCCCCATCCTCAGGGGTCATCCAGGCTGGAGACTGGCAGGTTGCCTAGGCAGAAAGTGGTTGGGGTCCCCACTTTTTCCCTGTAAATGTGAAGGGGGATTGTTCGTACCTGCGCAGGCAGGGAGGCCCCGTCTGGGCCCAGGCGAAGGTGCCACCACGAACACAGATGCAGTCCTTCCCAGGGGCTGCGGGGACACAAGAGGCAGTTCCAGGAGATCCCCGCAGATGCTCCCAAACTCCTCCCACTGAACCCAACACCCTGGCTTTTGGGTGGGGGGATCCTGTAGGGGCCCTATTCTCTCCCTGTCCTCCCTGGCTATTTAACTCAAAGGTGCGCAACCATAGCCAAGGCCGAACCCCACCTGCTGCCTGCTTTGATGGTCTTGTTGGCACACAGCCATGCTCGTTCCTGTATACTTTTTAATGACTGTTTTGCCGCTGCAACGGGGACTGGGTGGCCCGTGAAACAGGTGCTGGTGGGCCCCTTGCAGAGGAAGCCAGCGAACTTCTACGATCATTCATTGTCTCGCCCAAGGTTATGGGCATGAAGTACCCTCTCCACCCCACCTAGGGACAAGCAGTGGAAATGGGGCTGAGCGAGCTGTGGTCTCCCTGTGTCTGTGGGATTGGGATTTTATCTGTGTAATGAGGGAAAAATTCGATGAGCAGTTCTTGATTCTGCAAATGGAAGGTTTTTCTCAAAAAGCAAAGTTATCCACGGCTTGGGTCAAATCTGTCTAGTCTGAATCTCTGGCTGGGGTGGGGGGGGTGGGGATTTGCCTCTTTCTGCCTCAGTTTTCCCATCTGTAAAATGGGCTGCTGGTGGAATTAGCTCCCTGTGTTGGTGAGGAGACGGCTAAGTGAGTCAGGACACGGAGCTCCTTGTGCAGGGCTGCTGAGGCCTCAACCAGCTAGCTAAGCACATCCGGGCCTCAGATCCAGCCCACACGCAGGCATCATCCAGTGAGAGCACCAGCATGGCTGTCACAGACCCTCAGCTCCCAAGAGCCAGGCATCTCGTGTGGCTTACACGGCCCCTGACCCAGCTTGACACCAGCCCCACTGGGCAGCTGGGAACCCAGAGTGAAAGGGACAAGGGTACTGCCCAGGGCCACCCCGCACTTGAAGCCAGGACCTAGCCTGAGTGCCCAGAGCCCATCCACCCAACTCCAACAACTCAGAAACAGTGATTCCAGGGCATTCAAAGGCCCCTTTTCTGACTTCTGTTTTTTCCTAAATGATAATTATACTAATGAACACACTCAGGCACCAACAGTGCCAGGCCTCCCGGCCCTTTCAAAACTGCAGTTGGAGAGGTCTTCCACTTGCTTGCTCACTCCCCAAATGAACACAACATCTGGCGCTAATCTAGGCTAAAACCAGGAAACTAAAATTCCGTCTGGGTCTCCCATGCAGGTGCAGGGTCCCAAGGTTTTAGCCCATCCTTGACTGCTTTCCCAGGCCACAAGCAGGGAGCTGGATGGGAAGTGGAGCAGCCAGGACACAAACCAGTGTCCATATTGGATGCTAGCAACACAAATGGTGGCTTAACCTGCCAGAGTGCCATCCCCAACAAATTTTATTTAAAAGGCAGAAATAGTCAGAAACCTTCCATCTGCTGGTTCACTCCCTGAATGCCTGTGAGCACTGAGGCTGAGTCAGGCTAGATCAGGCTGAAGACAGATGCCTGGAACCCAGTCTGGGTCTCTCCCAGGGCTGGCAAGGACCCAACCAATCAGCTGAGCCATCCCCTGTGGCCCCCCAGGGTGCACACGCACAGGGAGCAGAGCTGGGATCTGGGTCGAGGTTCTCTCATACAGGAAACGGGCGTCTCAAGCAGCAGCTGAACCCTCTGTGTCAGACACCTCCTCCAAGGGCAGCAGCTCTCTGAGCTCACAGGAGCCTCCCAGCCCCAGGCAGGTTGGGCTCACTGTGCCCATTCTGCAGCTGGCAACACTGAGCTCTGAGATACAAACTCGCTGAGGTCACTTGGCTTAGTCAGTTCCCCGGGGCTGGGTACTCCGCAGCCCACCTGGTGGGGGCATTTCCACCAGGCCAGCAGTGGCCCTGCCCTGCCCTGTCCAGTTCCTCCCAGGCCCTTCCAGTCTCCTCAGCACTCACAGCTCCAAGAGGGGCTCAGGGCCACGGCACCAGGATCCACTTCTTCCAGGTTCAGGAAGGCAGCCAGCCGGTCAAAGGACACACGGGCCTAAGGACACCAAAGCCCCCCACCCCCCACCGAGAGCCTCAGCTTCCTGTCTGCCACTCCCAGAGCCCCTTCAAAGCCCAGGAGGAAGCCTGGTGCGCTGAGAGGCGGGAGACAGCCAGCTCTGGGCTCTCCATCAACAGAGCAGGACCTACTGGATGCCTTGGAGCCTGCTCCACCAGGGGGCGCCCTCCTCACTCCCTACCCCATGGGGGCAAACTGGAGAACCATTAAAGCAAGTGTGTGTGGGTGGCTCCCACGCTGGCCACTCCCCTCCCCTGCCCCCAGGGACGACTCGTAGCCTCTTCCCAGCCCCGCACCCTCTACTGCTGCTGGACTTGTTGCCCAGGCACCACCTCCAGTGCTCCCCGCCGTCTCACCTGTACCACCGAGTGGGCAGAGAAGGGCAGGAAGGCCTGGGCCTTGTTCAGGATGTTAAGAACTGTGAGGGTCACGAAGGCTTTCTCTGCATCCATGGCACTGTCTTTGGCCACCAGGGTATGGACAGCAAACACGACCAGGGCCACCTGGTGAGACAGGTGGGGCCACGGTGAGGCCAGACTCGTTGCCTGGGGATGTTTCTCAGGGGGCCAGGTGGATGGACACAGGTGCAGGCCGTCCTGCCCTGGGTTCGGGGTGGGCGCATGCATGACCCCACGGCTCTGGCGTCCCTGCTCCCTGGGCATCCGGGTTTGAGTGGAGCATAGCTTGCCACCCATGGCAGTGTCACTGAGGACGCCAGCTTGGGTCGGGCATTGGAGATGGCCCTGAGGTCCACCCTGGTAACTTGGATGGAGCAGGGGTTCCCGGTGTCATGAGGGTGGGCTCAAGGCTGGGTGATGGCAGATGTCACTCCAGGTGACCCCCAGGATCCTGTGGGGGCAGGGTGACCCTCCTGGTTCTATGCCGTGGCCCGTGGGGACATGGGCAGAGTCACAGCAGGGGGTTTGGTGATTCCAGAGACTTGGCCAAACTCAAGGGCCACGTGCCAAGAGCCTTGAGGAAGAGGTCAGGGTTCATTCCGGAAGCATGTGCCAAAGCTGGCACGAGGAAGGCTCCTCTGGAGCTAGACAGAGGGACGAGCTGGAGGATGAGGGGACGGGAAGAGAAGCCAGGAGGTCTCCTCGCTCATGGGAAGTAGCTGACCTATCAGGCAGCGACCCCGCGGACTGGGGACCCCGGGTGTGACCATGCACAGGTGGTGGGACGGGTCACTCCCTCCCCCAGCCCCTGCTCAGCAGAGTGACGTCACCAGGAATGTGGACACGTGGAACGACACTAAGGACACGGAGAACAGGAGGCCGGAGGTCCTGAGGGCGCCCAGCTCCAGGCCACGCGTGCGCAGGACCCGCTCCGTGAAGGCCTCCTCCCAGCCGGAGAACTTGATGGTCCTCACGTGCCTGAGCACGGAGCTCGTGAGCCGCACCCGCGAGTCCTTCCGTCTCATCTGCTCCTCCTGCGCACGGGGCAGAGAGGGGAGGGCAGGGGGCAGAGAGGGGCACGCGGGAAGGGAGAGGAGACAGGGAGAAGGAAGTGGGGGAGGGAGAGAAGATTGGGGAGGGGAGAAGGGAGAGTGTGGGCGGGGGGACAGCTGGACATCTCTTTCCCCAGCGTCGGCTGATCTGCAAGTTTTGCCCCACCCGTCCTCAGCTCTGCCCTGCAGCCCTGAGTAAGCCTCTTCCATCTCCTCCCCGCTGCACCAGTCCATATCACATGGGATGACCCACCTCAAAGCACACAGATGCCCAGATGGGGCCTGAGCCAGCATGGGGGGCCCGAGACCGCGTGGGGGGAGGGCCTGAGACAGCCATGGGGGAGGGGTGAGCCTGAGACAGCCATGGGGGTGGGGGGTGAGCCTGCCGTGGGGGGGCCCAAGCCAGCCATGGGGAGGAGTGAGCCTGAGACAGCCATGGGGGGGGGGGTGAGCCTGCCGTGGGGGGGCCTGAGCCAGCCGTGGAGGGGGGCCTGAGCCAACCTTGGTGGAGCACCACCAGAAAGGCTTCCTGGAGGTGGCGGTAACACCTAGATTTTACCCTTAGTGTCAGGGAAGAAGCTGGGCTCGGGGCGGGGGAAGAACTGAAAAAGGATGGGGTAGTAAAGACCCAGATACAGGGAACAGCGTGAAAACCAGCACAGCAAAGGGGAGAGAGTGTGCGTGCGTGCACTGTGCATATGTTCACTGCTATACATGTATGTGTATACATTATGTGTTTATGTATCATGCATTGCATATATATGTGTACATTGTATGAATCACATGTATGTTCATGTGTGTGCTGTGTGCACCTGTGTGTGGTGGTGGTTGACAATCACACAGGGACTAAGGGCCAGGTGACGGTTTGGGGTCTCCCCAGTTCTGTCACCAAGGGGGACAGCTGTGAGCAGACTCCAGAGAGGAGGGCAGAGAGAAGGATGGAGAAATGGCAGGGTGCCCTGGGTCACTCACTCTCTCTCTCACACACACACACACACACACACACACACACACACACACACACAGAGGCACCCCAGCTCTAAACCCCAAGACCACCACCCCCACACTGAGTGACTCCTGCTACAGGGAAGCTTCTAGTCTGAGGAGATGGAGGCTGGCCCCTGCAGATGCCTGCCCGGTGCCAGGCTGGTGGGAAGGACCACCCTGCGGGGAGGGGCGGGGCGTCTGAGAACTCTGGCTGCCACTTCCAACTTCCTGTGGGTGCAGAGCCTGGGGGGCAGGCTCCTGGGGTTCTCTCTACTCCCTGCCTGGGGCACCTCTTCCTCCCGGGACCCCCAAACCTGATGGTACTTCCTCTTCTTGGTGATGAAGAAATTCAGAGGGAGGAGGCCCAGGAAGACAGCAATGGCAGTGAGGGCGGAGGGTCCCAGGAGCTGGGGACAGAGGACACAGGATGTCACGAGGGACCAACCCCCCACCGCTGACCAGGGTCCAGCTGCAGATCCCCACAGACCTGGGGGTGCCAAGGAGTGTGACAAGGGTGGCCACCAGATCACAGAGCCCAGGACCCCCGGTAGACACCTGCACCTGACCACGGGGACCCTCTAGCTTGGGGAGGGGAAGGGGCTCGCCTTCAGGTCAGGAATATCTTTTTAGCCTAAGTATGTCCCATGCAGTGTCAAGGATACACTTAGGTCTGACTTGGGACAGTCTGCCAGGTCCTTCTGTACCCTCGTTGCTGGTAAATGTGGAGCTTGTGGGGAACAAAGGATTGTAGTAACCGGCCTCGCTTTTCCCTCTGCCCCCCAGAAGCACAATCTTCTTATCTTGGGAACTGGCCCAGCCATGGTTTCATTTATGTAGCAATGGCGCCACCTGGTGGCTTAATGGAGAAGTGCTTGGAAAGCAAACAGACCACAATTCCAAGGTGAAAAAACAGGATCTTGCAGCTCAATGGCAACCCTTTCACTAGGCAGGATCTCCACGCAGCAGGGAATAGGGACCCTCGTCTGCAAGGCGGCAAGGGTGTGCCAGAAAAGCCACAGGTAAATTATCGGCGGGCATCTCTGTTTTCTACCAGCCGGGGCCGTGAATCCACCTACTCAAGTGGATGGGAAGTGGAGCAACCAAGACTGGAGTTTTGTCCTTCCCAGCAGCTGCGTTTATGTGTGACACACAGGGCACTGTTCGGATGCTGAGCACCAACTGCAGGCAAAGCTGACAGTCAAGGTGAGTCACACAGATCCCATGCCCATGTGTGACAGAGTCAATCACAAGCATTACGCAGGATCCAGTGTCCACCCCCTGTCCACAAGCCTGGGCGTCAGGGCCACAGCCCGTGGACGAGATGCCTCCAGCTCTGTGCAGCCCGCAGCTACACAAGGAGTATTAATGGCTTCTATATTTTCTGAACAGTTGGAAAAAGCAAAATCAAGGAGAAAGATTCTGTGACTTGGGGAAAAGTTCAAAATGCAACAACCGCACCTGGGATTCTGTCGGGCCCCTGTTGTGCAAGGTCCCAGGACAAAGCTGCAGACGTCTCAGCCTCCAGGGTGGGGCACAGCCCCTTTTTAGGTCACCACAGGGACCCACCTGCCCTGGAGCTCACCCCCACCACTACAGCGTGAGCAGTAATTGTAGCAAACCCCCAGAGCACCGCTGAGTGCCACACATGCCCAAGCACGCTGCATGGACAGGCTGAGCCTCCCTGTACTGCAGATCTCCGATCCAGAATGCTTCAAACTCCAGCACTTGCTCAGCCACACCTGACTAGGTCATGGCCAAATGCTGACCAGGAGGCCCACGCTGTGGCGTTGCAGCTAAAGCTGACACCCATACAGCTGCCGGTTTCAGCCTCAGCTGCTCCACTTCCCATCCAGCTCCCTGCTGATGGTCTGGGAAAGCAGCAGAGGAGGGCCTAAGTGCCTTGGGCCTGTGCATCCACAGGAGAGATCCTAGCTCTTCCTGGCCAAGGCAGCCATCTGGGGAGTGAACCAGTGGATGGAAGATCTCTAGCTCTCAAAATAAAGAAATCTTGCTATTGGTTGACTCCCTAAATGGCCACAATGACCCAGAGCTGGATCAGACTGGAGCCAGGAGCTTTTTCCAGGTCTCCCATGTCGGGGCAGGGACCCAAGGTTTTGGCTCATCTTCCAATGCTTTCCCAGACATATTAGCAAGGAGTTGGATGGGAAGTGGAGCAACCAGGACTTGAACCAGCAACCATATGGGATGTTGGTCCTGCAGGCAGAAGTTTAATCTGATACACAGATCTTTACACATACACACAGACCCAGTGAGAACCTTGCACACCATCCCCACCAGGCTACACACAGCAGGTGTGAATTTTGCATTGAAACTCTGAGTTCTATCCCTCGAAATTGTTCATTACACATATGTAAATGCTGGAGAAAACCTCCCAACACTTCAGGCATCAAGCATGTTAGTTGAGGCGTCAAGCCTCATCAGTTCCTCTCAAACGCCAACAAGCCCGGGCCATTAGGATGGCGCAGGGTCACCAGAAAGGGATCCTTGCCCAAGACTTGCCCTGGGATGTTCCCGCCGTGCAGGTGGGAAGGAGGGGAGAACTGAGCTCCTGGCCAGGCAGGACCACACGCACCTGCCAGAGGTAGACAAAGCAGATAACAATCCAGATGAGGGGCAGCCACAGCCCGTTGAGGTAGAGGACGCTGTCGGTCAGCCGCTGCACGTCCACGGACACCAGGTTGACCACGTCTCCCACCGCACTGGCCTTTCTGGAGCCGCTGGACAGCACCAGGACCTGGGCAAGCAGGGAAAGGGGGCAGGGGCGTGACCGAGGAAGAGCACTCGCTCTCAGCCTTAGCGCAATGGGCCAGTGATACGTCCTGGGCCAGCTTCCTCACGGACTGTCATGAGGATCTAGGGGGATAACTACCAAGATCCCCCAAGTCCTGACACGCCACGACAGGGAGTGACCCACGGCAACAACGTGGGGGCAGGTGTCAATTGAGTGCACCTGTGCCCCAGGCCCATGCTGGCAGGTCAGGGGCAGCTTCCACAGCCAGGACCCAGGTACCACAAGCACCCATTAGCCTAAAAGCCCTGGGAGTTGCCAGGGAAACCGAGGCCGAATCCCAGTGTCCCCACATCTGTCCCCTTGGTCCTTGTGGCTTTGACTGGTTTTTACCAGAAAGCACTTGGTGAGTTAAGGGTGTGGTCCTGACACCCTGCCAGGTTCCAATCACCTCTCCAACAGGTCACCCTGCCGGCCACTATTACCCAGGCAGAACATAATCGCCACCATCTAGCTATAACCCCCCTACACACTCCCCACCCCAGACCATCCGGAGCCCACTGGGCCGGTGTCAAAATTCCCCAGAGCACTGCATTGCCAGCTCATCCAAGAAAGTCACGGGCACCACAGACCAAGCAGCAACACGGACACAGGCTCGGGGCACACCTCTTCGCCTGTGCTGAGCAGTCAACATACGCCTGCTTCTGCTGTGTGCACATAGGAAGGCAGGGTGGGCCTGGGCTGGGGGTTCTGCAGCAAAACACCTCCAGCTAGTCTGTGGGATGCTGTGCAACAAGACCACCTTCCCCAGTTAAACTCAGATGCGGGAGACGCACCTCAATTTCAGAAGTGATGAACGGAAGGAACAAGAGCAGAGGGGGCACCCCCAGCAACGTACACATCTCGACCCCACGTTACAGGGAGGGACACCGACTGAGCAGCTCATGTAAAATCCCAGGTCCTGCCAGTGCCTTAGCTGGAACCGGAACCGGCCTAAGGCTCCACAGGCTCACATGCCTGACACCCTTGAGTTGGCCTGCACGCTGGGGTCCCAGTGGGCCCCCTTCCAGTGTTGAATGTTAAGCTGTAATGCAGGTGCTGTCTGTGGGGGAGGGGAGGAGTTGGAGACAGCTGAGTTAGAAATTCCCCACTCATCTTTACAAAGCTCCCACTGTGCACTGTGAAGGCGGTGGAGGTGGGGGACCAAAACTTCCCAATTCCTTCTCCAGGGGCAGCCCAGCCAGGAGATGGGTGTGACCGCATCAGGAAAGCAAAGGCCAGCTGTAGGTGGGCCAAAGCAGTGCCCAGGGCTCTTCCTGTGAGACACAGCTTGCAGGCTTGTGGCTGGTCCTTGTGGGCCCTTTGTAACTTGCTCAAAGCTAAGTTCCCCCCACACACACACACCATCTACTTCCTGCCGAGTGAAGGGCAGAACCACGAGCGCCCTCACAGCTATCCAGGTCTGTCCTTTGGTCCCTTCCTCCCCCGAGTGACAGTGAGGGAGGCTCCCACAGGCCCATCCCTGGACCTGCCATGGCTCAGCTGCTCCAACCCCTGCGGGAGCCCATCGGCCCTGCAGCTGCGGTCTCCTGGGCTTGGCTCACAGCGTCGCCATGATGGTCATGGTCACAGTAGGGAGAGGAGCTAAGGCTTTGGCCTCCTACCAGGTGGTCCCAAGTTCATCCAGAGCGTTCCCAGCCCAGGTGCAACTAACCAAGGCTGCCACTAACTAAGAACGGAGTCATTTCTCTCACATGTAGTGTGGCTCTGGCCTGGTGATGGCTGCCAGTCCTCCTGGGGGCCAGCAGGAGTTAATGAGACAGAGGAGGAAACCCAGAAACCTAGCAGTAAGGAAAGCGAGGTGCAGGGAAGCGGAGCAATTTGTTGGGGGGTCAGAGAGCCTGGAAGTGCCTGAACCAGGACTGGAATGCAAGGTGATTACGGCATAAGACAGAGGCTAGGGGTTCATCCGACAGCAGAAACAGCCAGCGCAAGAGCCCTGGGCACCTTGAGGAACCAAAAGGAAAAGGGGGAGCATGGGACAAGGAGGACGTGGGTGATGAGGCCAGGGAGTAATGGGGTCAGACCACACAAGGCCTTACAGAAGCAAGCGTGGAGGCGATAGTACAGTGTGAGCGACTAAGTGAGGCCGGCCTGCGCTCCGAGCCCAGTGATATTATCCTCCAGCCTGTCTGTGGGCTGCCTGGACCCACACCCACCCCGCCCATGCTGCCAGGGGCCTCACCTTTCTGTACACCAGGCCCGTGAGAGCCGTCCGCAGCCTCATCTGCAGCACCTTGAACTGGAACATGGACTGCTGCTCAAACATGGTCTGCAGGCAGGCGGCCAGGAACATCAGCACGGCGAGGACGTAACCCCTCCAGGCCGGGAGCTGGGGGTCACTGACAAACTCCAGAAACAGGCTTGTGCCAGGAGAGAGAGAGAGAGAGAGACAGAGCCAGTGCAAGGAGCCACCCTAGCATGGCCGGTGCACGGCCTGGTCTGGCCAGGCAGTTCAGTGAGAGAGGCACACCGGGCCGAGCCACCCAGGCTTGGTGCAGACTGCCCTGGGTGAACTAGCAGCTGACCCCACACCCATCAGGACCCCAGCCAGGAGACAGGAGAGTTGCCCAGCTGAGCCCAGACTCAACGGATGAGCAAAACAGGCAACACCTGCAGTCTTAACCCGCGCGCTTTGGGGATTTTGTGCAGCCCAGCAAAAGCAAATGAACAGTTAAGATGACAGCTGACTTGTCTTGCCCTGCCAGGGGGTCAGTTCCCTTCCTCCTTGTCCTCCTGGCCCACCCCTGGCGTCCTGAGCAGCAGGTGGCACAGGCTGAGGTCCCCACCCCAGGCTCCCCCGGCCTACACTCACCTGAGGAGCTTGGGGAGAGCAAACCTGAAGATGTCGCCAACAACGAGGCTGATGGTACCCAGCAGGAAGGTGGAACGGAACACCTGCCACATGGCCCTGAGCAGCGGGCCCCGTGGGACCCCTGTGTGCTGTAGGAAGGCCTCGGTCTCTGGGGCCTCCTCGCTGCTGGCCCCTTTCCCTCTGAGAGCTTCCGTGGGCCTTTTGGAACAGATAGAGAGGAGCTCTGAGCCGCACCTGATGTTCTCAGCCGCCAACAATGAACCCAGGCATTGGACTAGCAAGCAGCTTTCAATGAGGGGTGTGGCTGGGTGAGGGTCTAGCCTGGCTCCCTCACCTGCTGCTCCTTATGCACCAAAGGCCCAGAATCAGGGGAAGGGGAGGCGAGAGGGCAGCTCCTGGCTGCACGGATGATGGCAGAGGACACACACTGGGGGACCATGCGCCAGGAATGCCTCCGCCCACTTCACAGGTGAGCGTAGTGAGGCTCAGAAAGGGTGAGCTCGTCCAAGGGCCCAGAGCTGAGAAGTGCAAGTGGGACTGGCTTTCCCCTCTCTGCCTTCACACAGGAGGGAGGGAGGGAGACCTCCACCAACGTGTTCACTCCTTAGATGTCCACAACAGCCAGGGTTGGGATTGGAACTGAGCTGACTTCGGGAGCCTGGAATTCAAACTTCTCATGTGGGTGGCAGGGACCCAACTCCTCGAGTCATCACCTACTGTCACCCAGCGTGTGCGTTTAGCAGGAGGCTAGGGTCGGGGCACAGCTGGGACTCGAGCCCAAGAACTCCCACAGGGGATGTGGGGCACCCCACATGGCGTCTTGGCCATTGAGCCAAGTGCCTGCCTCTAACCCCCGGCATTCTCTGGTCCATCTTTCTGCCTCCTTCCCAGCACCCAGAGCATTCCAGCTCTGGGTGAACCAGAGGTAGCTGTGCAGGCTACCACTCTCCCTGCCCCGGGGTCTTGACTGTATTCACGAGCCCTGGGACAAGGTGGAGGACAGGAGACGAGGCTGCCGACAGCCCTGTTGCTGTGTGGCCCCAGGTGGATGGTGTTGGTGTTTATATGACAGGGTGAGCTGGGCCAGTCACCTTGACCCCCAGCTCACAGACCTGTGAGTCCTCCATCTCCTCCTGGCCAGGTGGATGCCCACAGAACCCTCAAGCTGTTACTCTTGGTGCCCACTGCTGAGGTCACCCAGCAAGGGCAGAGCAGAGCCCAGCGCTGACCTCATAGTTCTCAGGGCATCTTCTGGCGCCTCGGGGACGCTGTCATCAGAAAGGAAGATGGAAAAATGCAGATGCTCCAGAGAGCTCAGGCAGATGGTACCTGCTGGCAAAGCCAAGACCCCAGCCCCTCCTCCCTGGCTGGCTGGCCTTGCTGTCTGGTACAGCATCAGGGAGATGCTGTCGGACTGTCACTGCATCGGTGTGGCTTGCCACCCACAAAACGGGGCTTTAGGTCTCATGTCACCCCCAAGCAGAGGGCCATCCCTGGCCACCGTCCCCAGGGGATCCTGCCTCGTAGCTTCCTAGCCATGCCCACTGCCCACACCCCCTGTCTGTGTCTGTTTAGAACTCCAGGTGAGTGGAGCCCCCAGCTGTATTTCCCACCTGGACCTCCCTAGCCCCTGTCTGTCTCCTGAATACAGCAGGAATACCTATCAGATGAACACCGAGTGGTGCACACCCAGAGCCCGACAGGAACGTTCATTGGGGCTGTGCTGTAGTAGAGCGGGCTAGGCTGCCGCCTGTAACGCCGGCATCCCATGTAAATTGCCAGTTTGAGTGCTGGCTACTCCACTTTGGTCCGGCTCCCTGCTAATGCAACCGTGAAGGCAGCAGAAGATGGCCCAAACGCTTGTGTCTCCGTCACCCATGTGGGAGACCCAGCTGGAACTCCTGCTCCAGCCTCGGCTGCTGTGGCCATTCGGGAAGTAAACCAGTGGATGGAAGATCTCTCTCCTTGCCTCTCTGTCACTATTTCAAACAAAATCTTAAAGAGTGCAGGGCACAGGCCCGGTGCAGTAGCCTAGCGGCCAAAGTCCTCCCCTTGCATGCTCGGGATTCCATATGGACTCCAGTTCTAATTCCAGCAGCTCCATGTCCCATCCAGCTCCCTGCTTATAGCCTGGGAAAGCAATCAAGGACGGCCCAAAGCCGTAGGACCCTGAACCTGCATGGGAGACCTGGAAGAGGCTCCTGGCTTTGGATCAGTTCAACTCCAACCATTGCGGCCACTTGGGAGTGACTCAGCAGATAGAAGATCTTCCTCTTTGTCTCTCCTCCTCTCTGTAAATCTGATTTTCCAAAAATAAATAAATAAATCTTCAATTAAAAAAAAAAAGAGCACTGGGTACATAACATTATGCAAAATTGTGGAAGGAAAGAGCGAGGAAGGAGCTGGGTTGGTGGCCAGAATCAAGCCTTAGAGCCAGCAGATGGGGGTTCTAATGTTGGTTGTCTTCTCCCTTCTGACCTCGGTATTTCATCTGTGGAATGGGGCAATAGAGATGGAGTCCCCACGTCCTGGCTCGAGTCCAGCTCAGCCCTGGTTGTTGCTGGCATTCAGGGACTGAATCAGCGGATGGACAATCTGTGTGTCTCCCTCCCTCTGTCAATCTGCTTTTTAAATAAGCAAATCTTGACTGTCACTCTGCTTTTTAAATAAGCAAATCTGGAGATAAAGAGAAACACCAAGAATATTCTCTTTCTCTCTGGTTAGCTCCAAAGTTTCAGAGATGGGCAACTTACTAAACCAACCAACCAATCAGAAAATAGCATGGTGCCAGGCCTGCTCTGTAACCATCCTCTGGCCAGTAGGTGTGTGACCCCAGGATGACCTGCCCTTCCCACTCCCCCACCTGAGGGGTTGCACAATATTTCAGACCAAAGTCTATGTTTGTGAGTGTAGAGCCAGCTGGCTCAGAAAATGGGTGCGGGGATGAGCCCGCATTCCTTTCCGTCCTTTGCCTACAGCAGGATTTGCAAGGTGTTCTGAGGAAGTGGCCCTGCCTCCCCGCCCCAGGACAGGTTCCTGTGATCTCAGGACCTGCTGGGGCAGCCAGGAAGGAGCCAGGAGAGCAGCCCAGCCTCCTGGAGCCCTGCGGAATGAAGACTGTGGCCTGCTCCACAGTCTTGCCCTCTGCTGTCACTCCACACAGTGTGTGCACTCCCTGGCTTGCATCCTGATGGCTGCGCTGCCCCAGGCCACTTGTCCTGCTCTTCCTTCCTTGTCAGGTTTTGGATGGGGCCTCCCAGGTGGACACAGCTAACTGCAGAGGTCTCCAAGTCCCCCTCTGGGACTCCTGAATTCACGCCTTCCCCCCAGCTCATCTTGTCTCACCCTTCCTAGATCCGTGCTTGTGGACCGCCTGGAGGCAGCAGCTGCCAGAGACTGCAGGCACCCCCAGTTCCCCACCCTGTCTTGAACCCCTAGACTGCCACCCAGGCCACCATCCATCCCAGCTTCCTTCGGGGTACCTGGAACATGCCCCGTTCCTTCCGTTTCCCTTTGGGGTCCACAAAGCAGCCAGGGCAGACCCAGATTTGACCAGGAGTCCTCCCTTGGTGGTGTCAGCGGTGGGCAGGGGACTGGACAGGGCCCCAGCCATGGCATGGGTGTGGCCTCAGCTCCTGCCCGCTCCGCACTCACCGCTGGGCCGTCCGGCGGTTGCTTGTCCATTCCCGCTCCAGCCGGGACACCAGCTCTTCAGAAGAGTTCTCTTTTCCGAGCGACCACAGGTCTTTGGGTTCCAGCAGCTTCCTGTAGCCCTTCCAGACCAGCCTGCAAAAGAGGAGTGCTAAGGCCAGCTCCTCCTGCCGCCTGGTCCTGCTGGGGCCCTGCCTGGCAGCTGTGGGACCCTGGGGAAGCCAATTCATCTCTCTGTCCTTCTGCTGGCCACTCCGTGGGTAAAAACACAAACCACCCCACCTGAGAGGGCCACTCCTCTGTTTACAAAGATCATCTCATCTGATTCACTGTTAGGATGGACCCATTTTACAGATGAAAAATAGAGGCTCAGGGAGAGTTGAACCAAGGAATGAACAGAGTGGCAAGAGAAATATGCTTCGACGTCACACAGTTCATGGAGGAGCGTCTAAATACGTGTATCCTTTACTTGTCTTTTTTTCCCCTCCACAAATCATTCGCAGTGCCCCTGCAGGCTTTTCACTGCCAGCCAGTGTGGCAGAAACTCAATCATGCTCCTCAGGTCCCCAGACTCCAGCTCACTCACTGCTCTAGTCGGCTGGCCCCAGGACCTTTGCACATGAAAGTCATGGCTGAACAGTGTGTCCCCAACACCCCTCCTCTGGCTGCCTGTCACTTGTCCCTCACATCTGAGCTTGGACGTGGCACACACCATCCTCCCCAGACCCCAGCTGGTTCTGTTCTGAGTGCCCACCAGCTCCCCCGTCTCTTTTCTGGAATGCTCATTATGATCACAATTATTTGCTGTCGAGGCCTCATTCTCTAAGGAGCCAGTGTCTTTTCTCTTCCATTGGATGGTGAACTCTGCAGGGGTAAGGTAGGGCTTGCCTCATTTTTTCTCTTTTCTCAAAAATTTTTATACTCTTTTCTCAAAAAAAAATTTTTAAAGAGGCATTTATTTTTATTGGAAAGGTGGATTTACAAAGAGAAGGAGAGACAGAAAGATCTTCCATCCTCTGGCTTCTCAAGTGGCGGCAACAGCTAGAGCTGAGCCGATCCAAAGCCAGGAGCCAGGAGCCTCTTCTGGGTCTCCTGCCTGGGTGCAGGGTCCCAAGCACATGGCTCGTTTTTGGCTCCTTTGCTAGGTACCTTCACAGGAAGTCGGATGGGAAGAGGAGCAGCTGAGACTTGAACTAGCATCCATAAGGGATGCTGGTTCCATGGCGGAGGCGTAACCATGGTGCCTGCCCCTGCTCATTATGCTTTAGGTGTGAATGACAGATGCTCAGGCAGTGACCGACGACATGGGTCATCGCCTGCAGCTTTCCAACACGAGCATCAGCGAAGCTGACCCAAAATGGAGCCAGGACTCCAGCCAAGAGACCCCTCCCACCAAAGGGCCTCAGGTTTCTCATTACAACAGGGCAGTGTCCTGGTGCTGTGCTGTGAAGCACTAGTGTTGAGTCCTGGCTGCGCCACTTCTAATCCAGCTCCCCACGAATGCACCTGGGAAGGCAGCCGGGCATGGCCCGAGACCAGGGGCCCCCGCCACTCATGTGGGAGACCCAGGTAGAGTTCCTGGCTCCCAGTTTGGGTCTGGCCCAGCCCCAGCTGTTGTGGCTGTTTGGGGAGTGAACCAGCGGATACAAGCGTTTGCTCTGTCATACTTTCAAAATAAATAAATAAATCTATTGAAAATAAGGATGTTTCCCAGCACACGGCCTGGCATGGGCGACTATAGCTGGCACATACACAAAATGAAAGTGTGGAGCCTTGCTGAACAGTGGTGGGGAGGAGGGGCAGGGCAAGGCCGGGTTTGTCTTCTGTTGTAACCACAGTCTCTCTCTCTGATGACACCAGGGGAAGGGTTCTCTGCATAGATGTTGCCCTTTGTCTCCTCTCCCAGCCTCACCAGCTCCGTTTTCTAACACTGAACTTGGGCTAGCAACAGGTCAGCTCTTGAAACCATTAACAGGCTTGGTTTACCCTGAGAGTACCGTGTCGAGTGAGTCTATAAAATTTTCTAACAAATGCAGCAATGGAAAGATTTCCTTAAAAAAAAAAATAAACGAGGAAAACAATATTTTTTAAGTTGACTTAAAGAAAAACGTTGAGTAAATAAAGTGACGGCCTAATAATGCAAAGAAGCCAAAGGAGAGGCACAAATGCCTGACTTTGGGGAGCGGGAAGCTGTCCCTAGAGGGCTGTTCAAAAAGCCCAGGCTGGGACATAGCATAAACCTCCACCTGCAACACTGGCATCCCATATGAGCATGGGTTCGAGTCCTGGCTGCTCCACTTCCTATCCAGCTCCCTGCTAATGCTCCTGGGAATGCAGCAGAAGATGGCCCAAGTGGTTGGGTTCCGGTATGCATGTGGGAGACCTGGATACAACTCTAGGCTCCTGGCTTTCGCTTGGCCCAGGCTCTGGCCACTGCAGCCATGTGGGGGAGTGAACCAGCAGATACAAGATCTGTTTCTTCTCTAACTCTGCCTTTCAAATAAATTCAGAAATCTTCATTTTTTTAAAGTGGACAATCCCATACTCCCTTTTACGACATCAGTAGGTGCAGACTCTGCTCTAAGTTTGTCACAACCCTATTCTCACGTGATCTTCACAGCCACAGGGAGACAAGGTTATCAGTCCCATTTTACAGGTGTGGACACTGAGGCACACAGACGTAAGTTGCTTGACCAAGATCACAGGAAACCTTGGGGCCAGGATCCAGATACCCAATGTCAGACTGCAGGGGGGCCAGCGGGGCTCCCACAAGTGGAGGCACTGAAGAGGGGGGACTGCAAGGGCTTGTCCCCTTACACCCCTCCATCCCTGGCACAAGGTACACTATAGGAGCTTACTAAGTGTTGGCAGATCAATCAAAGCTTGAGCAAGAGACACTGTTACTGAGCACCTGCTGTGTCCAAGCATCAGACATCTTCCACTGAAGGAAGGTAGACTGTCCCTATTTGTGCCTGGTTATTAAGAGGACAAATCCAGACCTTACTCCAGCAAGTCACTGGGGGTGGGATGTGGACAATGGGCACAGGAGACAGAGAGGGCAGTGCTGTGGCTGTGATGGAGACCACCTGGATGGGTCCTCGTCTGGTAGGCAGGAACCCTACCCCAGGAAGAACAGTGGTGGTAACCCCTTCCCCAACCAGCACAATCCAGCCCCTGCCCTGCCACCTGACTTACCCAGAAACCCACCAGAATGTGACCTTGGAGGGGAAGGAGGCCCCAGCCTCTGGACATGGATTCTGCAAAAGGTGGGGGAGGGGAGCTTCAGTCTCACACCTGTGACAAGCACATGCCAGAGGGATGCCAAGGGTGAGGATGAGATACCCCAAAAATGAGCTCAGTGCCCAGTGTCCTGGCTTTTCTGGGGAACTGGGGTGACAAAGGGGCGGAGAGAGAGCTCAAAGAAATCTGGTGTGGTTGTTAGCATGCCAATGGGATGGCCACACCCCGTATCAGAATGCCTGAGGTTGCGTCCTAACGCTCCTCGCGATTCCAGCTTCCGGCTAATGCACGCTGGGGAGGGCAGTGGTGACGGCCCAAGTGCTTGGGCCCTGCTGCCCGTGAGGAAGATCCAGACTGAGTTTCTGGCCTCTGGTATATCTCTGTGTTTTTATCTCTCTCTGCTCTCCAAATACACATTTTAAAAAGTTTTCTGGACAGAAAAGGATGGGCCAACTACGGCACAATATAACACACCCCCAGCTAACTGGATACCACGCCTTGGGGCCTGTATTGTGGTACAGTAAGGTAAGCCACCACTCGTGATGCCAACAGGTTATATCAGAGTGTTGCTTGGAGTCCTGGCTGCTCCACCTCTGAATCAGCTCCCTGCCAATGCACCTGAGAAAGCAGCGGAGGATGGCTTAAGCCTTTGGGCCACTGTATTCACATGGGAGACCCAGGTGGAATTCCTCACATGTCCTGGCTGAGCCCCAGCCAATGGGACTATTTGGGAGGAAAAAAAAAAAAAAAACAAGGTAGAAATCTCTGTCTCTCCTTAACATCCTGCCTTTTTCAAATACATACAAATAAATCTTAAAAAGAAAACAACCAAAACTACAGACCTATGCTCTAGCCCAACCCCCTCTGGCTACATAGGAAGGCACAGACCACTGGGGCAGTGCAGGGTCCAGAAGTGAGGAGGTGCTGCGACAGGGACCCCAGGACTCACAGGCGGCTGGGGCTCTTTGGGGAAGAGAGGAGGTTGATCCGCCAGGCAGGACAACACCAACTGTGCCACGACCAGAGATAAACATAGGTAGGTGGACAGGTGGCGGATGGGATCCTTCCGGAAGCCCTGTGGGAGAGAAAGGACCAGTCCACAAGGAATCGGCACCCGAGGCCTGGGAGCGCAGCCAGAGAACACACAGTGTTCAGGCCCCATGGAGCTTCCAAGGCTGGGGGCAGGGCCAGCATGCCCCAGTGCTAAAGGATTGTGAAGTACCTGCACTCTGAAAAACTGTGTCTCGGGCTGGCATGGCGTGTTGCCCTTGGCAGCACACAGCTGTCAGATTAGCCAATTGAGCCAATATTTAACCCCAAAGGTTGCTTTTTTTTTTTCTCTCAAAGATTTATTTTTACTGTAAAGGCAGTTGACCAGGGAAGGAAATACAGAAAGATCTTCCGTCCTCTGGTTCACTTCCCCAAGTGGCTGCAATGGCCGGAGCTGAGCCTATCCAAAGCCAGGAGCCAGGAGCTTCTTCCAGGTCTCCCTTGTGGACTCAGGGTCCCAAGGCTTTGGGCCGTCTTCCACTGCTTTCCCAGGCCACAAGCAAGGAGCTGGATGGGAGGTGGGGCTACTGGGAGTAGAACCAGCATCCATATGGGATGCCAGCGTGTGCAAGGAGAGGACTTCAGCCACTAGCTTACAGTGCCAGCTGCTCCACTTCCCATCCAGCAAACTGCTAATGCATCAGGGAGAGCAGCAGAGGATGGCCCAGGGCCTTGGGGCCCAGAACCCACATGGGAAATCCAGAAAACGTCCTTGGCACCCAGCTTTGGCCTGGCCCATCCCTGCCCATTGCAGCCATTTGGGGAAAGAACCAGTGGATAGAAGATCCCTCTCCCTATACAGCTCTGCCTTTCAAATAACATATATCTTAAGAAAAAAAAAAAAGATGAAAGGACAGGATGATGCCCTGAAGCCTGGACGTGTCTCCTCTCCCCAAAGCCTGGGCTGACCATCTTGTTAATCAGTCTCAATATGTGGGTGATTTTACCCCACAGGGGTTTGCGATTGTGCAGTCCAGGGGCACTGACCTGCTGGCTTTGGGTGAGTGGAGGCCAAGGATACAGTAAGGGCAGCCTCCACACCCCAAACCCCCAAAGAGAATTAACCCAGCCACAATGTCAACAGAGCCACAGGCAGGGAATCCTTTAGTTTGCAAATAAACCAGCACATCCCCCAGATTCCAAGACTGGCATGCAGAGGTACAGGTGCACAGGGCAGGGAGGGGGAAGGAGGGGAAACGAGCCCAGAGGATGTTAGGCGTGCACGCGTGTGTCTGTGCCTAAGAAAGGCACGCATGGAGGCATCCAAGCGTGCCTCCTGTGTGAAAACGGGATGTGTGATGTGCGAGCACGCATCCATGAGAACTGCACGAGACACGGGTAGCTGTGGGTGAGCCAGTGTGCGTGTGCATCTCTGGAACTGAAGGGTCTGCCATGGGCATCACTGTACACGCATTAAGTCCCATGTGCAAAGTCAAGGAGGGAGGATAAGATCCAAGGTTTGAAACTGCCAGGTCAGTTTTTCCAGGGAGCCCAGGCCCCTCCCTACTCACCCCTCCAGAGGCCTGCTGGGCGGTGCCGACAGCCGGCAGGACGACACAGAGCAGCCAGTACCCAGCGAGCACCCCAGACACCTGCATCCCCTTCTTTCTCTCAGCGTGAATCAGGAACACAGCGAAACTCTAGACAAGAGAAGTCCAGACAGGCCGCTTAGATGGGGCTGGGGATGCGAGAGGAAGTTAAGAGCGGTGCCCAGGAGCCAGCCAGAACCCAGACAGCTGCGAGGGAGTAGGGGGTCGGTGTGGAATATTACCCAACTGGGGGCGGGGTGTCATTACCATGGTGGTGAGCCACACCGTTGGGTGCATGAGCGATTCTGGGGCCTCGGGCACCCCATGCTGGATTTTCCAAAGAGCAGCTGCCACACTGAAGGTGCACAGGACCATGAGGGTGAAGCCCAGCACCTGGGGACACAGGCTTAGGTGAGGTTGGGTGACAAGTAAGTTGGCAACAAACTGGTAAGCGACACTGCATGCAGTGTGAACATGCTCCCTGGGCCCTGTCATGAGTCAGTGTCACAGGTCATCCACGTGCTAGCTCATGGAACACACGCAGGGCACTTGGGGGCAGTCCCATCACTGTCAGATAACACACAAGGACTTGAGCCAATCCCATGTTCTCCAAAATGCAGGTGTTCTGAGACCACAGGGGGTGAGATAGCTTCAGACAGGGAGAAATAGCATGAAATCAATTTATTCTTCAGGTGAAAAAGTGACACTATCTTTGAATAATTTTTTAAAGATTTATTCTATTTTTTGATATTGGAAAGGCAGATTTACAAAAAGGGAAACAGGAAAATCTTCATCTGCTAATTCATGCTCCAAGTAGCTGCAACAGCCAGAGCTGAGCTGATCAGAAGCCAGAGCTTCCTCCAGGTCTCCCATAGGGGTGCAGGGTCCCAAGGTTTTGGGTCACCCTCTACTGCTTTCCCAGGACACAGTCAGGGAACTGGAAGGGAAGCAGAGTAGCCGGGACATGAATCAGCACCCATATGGGATCCCAGTGATTGTGAGCAGTAGGGAGACACACCTGAGGGAGGAAGGAAGGAAGGAAGAAAGGAAGGAGGAAGGGAGAGGCAGACTCAGGACTCCGGCTCATCCTTCCTAAACAACCCTGGCACGAGAGAACTACGTTAGAAATAATCTACTTTAGGCCCAGCACAATAGCTCAATGGCTAAATTCTTACCATGCAAACACCAGTATCCCATATAGTCACTGGTTCGTGTCCTGGCTGCTCCACTTCCCATACAGTTCCCTGGTTATGGCCTGGGAAAGCAGTCAAGGATGGCACACAGCCTTGGGATCCTGCACCCACATGGGAGACCTGGAAAAGTCTTCTGGCTTTGTATCAGCTCAGTTCTGGCCATTGTGAATGAATCAGCAGGTGGAAGATCTTTCTGTCTCTCCTTTTCTCTGTAAATATAATCTGCCTTTCCAATAAAAATAGATCGATCTAAAAAAAAAAAAAGCTATTTTGAAAGGACACATCCCAATGACCTATTTGCTCTAGGCCCTGACAATGTTTCCACAAACTCACATCCATTCCACAGCAGAGGGGAGTCTGTGCAGCCTACTGCGGCCTACAGGGCCTCAAATATACCAGGGTCTCGGAAAAAACTCCTGGAACTCGCATATGATGGAAAAACTATGCATGGCTCTCGATGTGGGTTTTCAGCAAAATAAACTTTTATCTTTTCACTCCACCTTCCCCCATGACCTCTTGAAATTCTCTGGTATTCTTGGCCCTCCTTCTGGGGGTTGGGGTGGAGTAGGAATTAGAGCCAAACAGAACGGAGTGCAGTGGGCAGGGATGGACTCAGAAAAAGAACATTCTGGCAGAAGGTTGCAGGACAGAGGGACAGCGAGTGGGGGACAGATGCATGGGGTGACTCACGCCCAGAAAGCCAGCGTTTCAGACACTCCAGCAAACACACCATAGCTTTTCGAAGTGTCCCGTTAGCACTGCCAGTTCAGAAAAGTCAAAACACGGAGAATAGAACAAGTCAATCAGCCACCTCAGCCATATGTTGGCAGTGAAAAACTGGGCAGACAGAGACTCTAAGATGGACTATGTCCATCAGTGGATTCTTCAGCGACCGCATCGTGCTTGGAGTGGCGAGATTGGCAGCAATTCAGAACTGTTGAACTATCAAAACCACTTGAGCAAGACCCTCGGAGCATGCCCCACCTCAGGGGCCTGGGGGGGGGTGGGAGACTGGGTGGGGCTTCTCCCTTAAAATTCCCCTTTACCTCAGATACATGAAGGAAACAATATGGAAATAATAGTCTTGTCCATTTTCCTGTAGCCCTTGAACCTATTTACCCTAATTAACTATGTAAAGATGGTCAAAAATATAATAAAAAAAATGAAAAAAAGAAAGTCAAAACAAGTTTCTAGCTGTTCAAATGCTAAAAAAGAAAGTTTTATCCTACAGGCCCACACCTGCACAGTGGTAGTGTTGCGGAATAATCTTCTGCCGGCCGCACCAGCATCCCACAGGGGCACCAGGTCGAGTCCTGGCTGCTCCACATCCCAACCAGGTCCCTGCCAACGGCCTGGGAAAGTAGTGGAGGATGGCTCAAGTCCTTGGGTTCCCGTACCCACAAGGAGATCTGGAAGAGAAGTTCCTGGCTCTCAGCTTCAGACAGGCCCAGCTCTGGCCATTGCAATCATTTGGGGAGTGAATCAGTGCATGAAGGTCTCTGTCGTGACTCTCTCAAATAAATAACAAAAAAAGTTCATCCTAGTGTGGCTTGGCAATCACTTTGTGTGCACACATGTTGAACTGTCTGACGTGGTGGTGGTAAGTGTCCAGGACGGTGTAGCAACCTTGTCCCGTCCAGTTCACCTCTGCCGCCCGGCTAGCACTGATCTGTTGAACAGGCGCTCTTCTTGGCGGAAGGCGCATCTACTCTGGGTTCTCTGCCCGGCTCCAAACTGTCCTCCCCGCACCCCCTTTCCGCCCGCCCCCCGCCCTGTGTGGTCCCCAGGCTCCCAGCAGCTCCCCCGTGGTTACCATTTTGGTTTTGAAGAGCGGGGACATCCGAATGTAGCCCCTGCCATGGCGGTGGAGGTAGAAGAGGTGGATGGGGCCGAGGACCCACAGGTACATGGGGGGCCCCCACACCCCTGCTGTCCTCAGGAAGCACAGGCTTAGGAGGTGGGCGGCCACAGGCTGGGGTTCCGACTGGTTCCAGACCTGGAGGAATAGCAGAAAGACTCCGGATGGTTCCAGCCTAGAAGCCCGGCGACTCCTCCGATCCGCAAAGAAAAGCACTAAGCGTTGTCAGGAACGCCCGAGGCTTCTCTCCTGCCTCGCCCTCACGTGGTCCTGCCAGGTGTATGCACTTGTCTTACTGATTGGAAAGATGAGAAAGTGCAGCTCCAGAGAGGTATAGCCACTTGGTGGACGGCGGTCAGCTGGGACGTGGCAGGGCTGGGACTTGAACCTGGGGAACTGGGCCCTGGAGTCCACCAGGCTTGGGCTCTGTAGTTAGTGCTTGGTGCAGACAGTCATTTATCTGCGTAGCAACGCTGGGGGTGTAGGTCCTATTTCCCCATTTCACAGCCCAGGAAGCTGAGGCACCAAGAGGAGAGGACCTGCCTCCTTCAGGCCCCCACACACTGGATGTAGCCATGCTGTCTCAGCCCGAGACTGCTCTAGGCAGGAGTCAGTGAACAGGTGTCCTGCTCTGTAATTTTGACCTCAGCCCCCCTGTGCGCCCTCTTGGAGCTGAGCAAATTTTATAGGACGGAGTCATTTCCGTTCTCTCCCCAATGAGCTACCCTCCCCTCACTCGTACCCAGCCCCACTCGCCAGCTGTCTCAAGTTAACCTTTCTGAGCGTAAGGGGAATAACAGGTTCCACCTCCAACGGTTGCATTAAAGAGGTTAGGAGCAACAAAGCACACAGCAGGAGGCCAGGCACGGAGAGAGGCCTCTATTAACCTCAGCTGATGGCTCTTGAGCTGCCCTGCTCTGGCTCACCCAAGGACCCCCTTCCCTGGCAGCCGGGTTGGAAGGGGCGGCCGGAGAGGCAGGGCGTCCAGAAAGGCTTGTGGGGTTTCACTGTCTTCACGCGACTCAGGGTCCAAGCCCTGTTTGGGTAGTTCTGGGCTCTAGGGCTAACCTCTGCAGTTTGGGGGCCAGGACGTTGTGGGGTGAGAGAATCTTTCCCAGGGACAGCAGCCCCGAGGTATCTGCGAGCGTAAGACAGCAAGGACAAGGGTGGGCACTCACCCCCAGCCCCGCGCAGGGCTCGCCGGACGGCGCCGCCATCGAGCGCCCGATGTCCGTGCGTCGGTCAGTCCCGGGTGCCTTCCTTCTCCACCGAGCTCCCGGGCCGGGGGGAAGGGGCGGGCCGAGCGGGTCGGGCTGGGATTGGAGCTCCGGGATCGGGAGGCCCCGGGCAAGGTCCGGCCGCGCGGCTGGGGTGGGGTGGCTAGGGGTGAAGCAGGCGAGGCTGGAACCGGGAGCTCAGAGAGGAGGGGCCGGGACCCCCCAAAGTGCAGCCATTTCCCCAGTATTCCTCTTCCTGCTGCTTCAAATATCTTCGGCTTCCGGAGCACTCTAGGACCAGGAATCCCTACCGGCGACTCCCCACAGGTGTGCCTGTGCTGGGTGACCAGCAATCGGGAATGGACGTAGTCCACCTGGAGGATGGTGGCAAGAATCTAAGAAGCTGATGAAGAGTTTAGCACAGGGTGAAGTAAGCGCTCATTAGAAATTAGCCATTATCGTCAGCATTGGTAGGGTCACCACTTAGTTTGAGTTACAAGGCCATTCAGAAGTATTGTTAGGGAACTTACGGTTACTAAAGGCTGTGAAAAAGATTAGAATGCAGAATTAGTCTATGGTGGAACGCCAATATTTCAGGTGAGGCCCCTAACCTGCTGGCCTAAGAGCACACACACTTCTCAAGATGCAGACGCAGGGTCTGACACGATGTCTCAGTGGCTGAATTCTCACCTTGCATGCACCAGGATCCCATATGGTCAACGATTCGTGTTCCGACTGCTCCACTCCCAGTCTAGCTCCCTGCCTGTGGCCTGGATAAGCAGTGCAGGACAGCCCAAACCCGCGTGGGAGACTCAAGTCCTGGCTCCTGGCTTTGGATCGGCTGAACTCTGGCTATTGCAGCCACTTGGGGAATGAGCCAGTGGATTTCTCTGTTTCTCCTTCTCACTGTAAATCTGCCTTTGCAATAAAAATAAATCTTTAAAATATACAGACAGATGTTCAGTTGGGAGAAGAATAAAAACTCATTACCCTGTGCATGAACCCTGATTGCCTCTGGCAGAGGGGTTCCCCACACCTGGTCTTCCTCTGGGTTTTTTTTTTTTTTTCTGAGTTTTCCCATCCTTGCTTGGGCTCCCTTCACCTGGAAGGGCAGGGACACAACGATTCACAGACTTGTCTACCTTGAACCTGTGCCTGCTTATCCGAGGTGGCTTTGATGGAGACTGGTGGAAATGATTGCTGGTGATGTCACCATCCTGGGGCGCCACTGTGTGTTTTTGAGGATGAACTTGAAGAAGGAGTCAGAAGACCGGAATGGCCCGGAAGGAAGAAGCTGGGGTGAGCCCAGAGTGAGACTTGGGCATCCTGGTCTGTGGATTGCCAGGCTCCGTCTCAGACCCCAGAGGGTCTCTGAGCCTGGGCTTGCACAGGGCAGCACTTCCCAATCTGAGGCTTTCAGTTCACCAGCAGTGAGCCGCTGAGACAAATCTAGAATTCACGTTAAATATGGTAAAATATGTGTCTTTCAATAAAGGTTATACATAACCACCTGCAATAAATCAACTTAAATATTTATTTATGGGGGGAGGACAGTGTGGTAGCAAAGTAGTTTAGCCCATGGTGGTAGCATGCCATTTTATTGGCACTGGTTCATGTCTAAGCTGCTCCGCTTCCCATCCAGCTCCCTGCTTGTGGCCTGGGAAAGCAGCAAAGCTTCAAGTTGTAGGGCTCCTACACCCACCTGGGAAACCGTGGCTCCCTCCTGGCTTCAGATTGGCTCAGCTCCAGCTATTCCGGCCATTGAAGAGTGACCCAGCAGATAAAGATCTTTTTGTCTGTTCTTTCTTTGTATCTCTGCCTCTCAAATAAAAATAAGTAGATCTTTTTTTTTTAAAAAAAGATCTATTTATTTTCATTACAAAGTCAGATATACAGAGAGGAGGAGAGACAGAGAGAAAGATCTTTCATCTGATGATTCACTCCCCAAGTGACCGCAATGGCCAGTGCTGCGCCAATCTGAAGCCAGGAGCCAGGAACCTCTTCCAGGTCTCCCAAGCGGTTGCAGGGTCCCAAGGCTTTGGGCTGTCCTCAACTGCCTTTCCAGGCCACAAGCAGGAAGCTGGATGGGAAGCAGGGCTGCCAGGATTAGAACCAGAGCCCATGTGGGATCCCAGTGCATTCAAGGCGAGGACTTTAGTCGCTAGGTCACGGTGCCGGGCCCAGTAGATCTTTTTAAAAAGTAAATTTTTAAAGAAAGATTTATTTATTTATGCTTGAAAGGCAGAGTCAAGATCACTTCCAAATGGTCACAATGGCCTGAGCTGGGCTTCTCCGAAGCCAGGAGCTTCTTCTGGGTGTTCCACACGGGTGGAGAAGCCTGAAAACCTGGTGTTCCTCCCTTACTTTCCTAGGCACATTAGTATGAAGCTGAATCAGCAATGGAGCACCAGGTCTCAAATTGGTGCCCATGTGGGATGCCAGAGCCTCACGTGGGGGCTTATAGCCCACTATGCCAGGGCACTGATGTCTAAATAAACCAATCTAAACAGCTTCTTTTCTTAACTCTGTAGTATAAGACTTATCTGTGTGACAGTTTGAAAATTCAAAATGGCGTTTGTTTTGTCAGGTCCTCTAAGTCTACAGGAATCTCAGGGCGAGCAGAAAAGCAAGTGTTCTGTTGTGGACACATAGGCGGAACCAGAGTATGAGAAAGACATCTACTGTCAACTTCAAAACTTTGCAAACTGCAAATCTGGCTTCTGCAAACCAGGCTTGTTTGCCTCTCATTACCAAGCTGGAGTAGCGCTTAGTCTGTATAAACACTTGCCCATTGGATGGTTTAAAGTACATGATACTTAGACTCACTGGGCTCCCAGAAATCTTAGGAGGTTGATCAGAGAGCACATGAAGGTGTTAAAGTTTAGACAGAGACACTGTAACACAGTTAACAGTGTTGCTTTTCCTAATGGTGCCTGCGGGTTGGGTTGCAGGTTGTCCCTCTTCCCCTGGTCCTTAGATTAGCACTCAGTTATAAAATTTCCCCTGGCAGCCCAGGCTAAGACACAAGTCTTTCACAACCCTGGGGAGGAAAAAGTACCCAACCTGGAGGAGACAGGAATTCCTGACAGTTCCTGCTTCGTCATATTGCGCCAATGCTGGTTTAGCTCATTGGACAGCTTTTCATGCCAGCGTGAGCTTAAGAGCCCCTAACAGCACGGCCCAACTGAGCTGCTCCGTTCTTCCACTTGTGGTAGTACAAGGTAGTCCACAGGCCGGTGAATAAAGACTCCAGTACTTGGAAGAGTCGGCCTCTGGCTCTTCTTTGGCACAGGATCAGTAAGCTTGCAGCACTCTATACTTTCAGCGAGAGGGCTGGATGAGAAATTGAAATCAGCAGTACTCATGCTTGTGATTCTGAAGTCAACATTTCATTCCCTAATAACCACAGCGACACTTCGGATCATCATGCAGGGGAATTGCATTGTGAGTCTTGTAGATTGCTTAAGTCTTAGCCAAGAGCGGCAATTTGCAGCGGAAAATATTCTTTTGTCATGTAGACACAAAATATAAAAATTATCCAAAGAAAACACTCATTTAAAAATATGCTCTTATTTAAAAAAAAATATTCTTTTCATTTTGATTGGGAAAGCAGATTTACAGAGTGAGGGAGAGACAGAGGAAGCTCTTCCATCCTTGGGTTCACTCCCCAAGTGGCCGCAATGGCCAGAGCCGAGCTGAGCTGAAGCCAGGAGCCAGGAGCCAGGAGCTTCTTCTGAGTCTCCCACGCGTGTGCAGGGTCCCAAGGCTTTGGGCCGTCCTCAACTGCTTTCCCAGGCCACAAGCAGGGAGCTGGATGGGAAGCGGATCAGCCCGGACATGAACTGGCAGTTATATGGGATCCTGGCGCATGCAAGGTGAGGATTTAGCCACTGAGCCATTGCGCCAGGCCCTTGATGCAAATTTTCTAATTAAAAACTGTCTATATATTACTTTTTCAGTTGGGGCCAAAAGACAAAATACTGAGGTTCGAACTCACTGCCAGACAAACCACACTTCCTCTCAGAGAATTAATTCATGGTAAATTAAACTTCTTGAAGTGTTCTATACAAATGTTACACCTGGGACTAAAATGAATTATAAATACCTTCTTTAGTAGTACTACGCTGAACTTAGATAACGTGCTTTGTTTCAGAAAGTTACAGACGCATGCACCACGGAAAACTGAACCCTGATAATGAGTCCTAGGTAATATTTGGCTTGGGCGTCTGTGCCTCGCCCGGCACCTGCCAGACGGTGCGCGGAGTCCTCCAGGTCTCCAGAGGGCACAAGTGGACGCGTTTCCTGGCTGCGCATGCGCGATCGTGCGCCCTTCTGTGGGCGTGGGCATGGGGCCGTCGTGCGCCTGCGCGGCGGGGCGGGGCCTGGCTGTCAGTGGGGCTGAGAGGAGGAAGGAGCCGGCAGCGTGCGTGCGGAGTGAGGGGCGGGACGGGCGGCCTGCTGAGGGTCTGGCCAGGAGGCATCTGGGCCATGCGGGCGGGCCGGGGTGCTGGGTCTCCGGGCCCCATGGCGGTCGCCGTCGCTGTGGTGCTGCTGCTGCTGAGCGGCGTGGAGCCGGCGCGCGGCTCCGAGGACATCGTGGTGGGCTGCGGGGGCTTCGTCAAGTCGGACGTGGAGATCAACTACTCGCTCATCGAGGTGAGCCTCGCGGTGTGACCCTGGGCCGGTCGCCCAGCCTCTCTGGGCCTCGGCCCCCGGAGTCCTTCCCTTCTGGCAGCCCCTGCTTTGCGCGGGGCTTCCCCACCGCCCTGTCCCTAGACACGCGCTGGAGGCAAGGTGGTGGTCGCAGGGTCGGTTATGGAGTAGGGGGTGCGGGACCCCAGATTCTTCTCCCTGGAACCCTGTGTACCCTATGTCCTCTACATTTAGACCCCAGATCCCCCAAGTTCTTAAAAACATCGGCCGGGATCCTCTAGACCAGAAACCTCTAAAGCTCAGATTTCCTAAAACCATAATGCAGAGCCTTAAAGACCACATGAGAC